TCCTTTTTTTTTTTTTTTTTTTATTTTTTTTTTTTTTTTTTTTTTTTTTTGGTACCAGGGATTGAGGCAGGCACCAGAACCACTGAGCTAAATCCTTGGCCCTAACTCCTTTTTCATAAGGAGATATGGATGAGTCTTTTTGTGGTCAGGGCAGAATGTTCTGGTTTAGATCTAAAATGGCCCTCAAAGCTGCATGTGTGTAGAAGGTGATTGTACCGTGGGGTGTTATAGCTGACTTGCTGTCCGGTGGTGGGGTCTGGTTGGAAGAGGCAGCCATGACGTGGGAAGGTGTATCTCCTTTCCCAGCTCCTCCCTTGATTCTCTGCTTCTAGGCCACCACGAGGTGACCACCTTTTCCTCCACCATGTCTCTCTGCCATGCCATCTTGCCTTAGAGCGAGCGAACTATGGACTGAAATGTAGGCCAAAATAAACCTCTTCTCCTTTAAGCTGTGGAGTGTCGGCGATTTTATCCCAGTAGTGAGAAAACTGAGGCAGATGTAATGACGGGAGATGTCCTCTTCACCCTGCTGTGGGTACCGTGGCCCTCAGCAGCTCAGCAGAGCCCTTTGAGGCCTGCTGCTTCTGGCTGATAAGGGACTTTGAGGACCTGAGAGTCCTCTGGCAGCTGAGCTCTTGCTTCACTGCATTTGTGGAGAGGTGAGTTCTCTGCAAACTCCCCTGTTTGAAGCAGCTTCGTGTGGTACTGGAAACACATGGGTGGGGGTAATGGCAGAGGCACGGGAGGTGTAAGAAGAAGATGTGTCACTGCTGCCCCTGGGCAAAGGGGCTCAGTATAGTCAGCTGTCACTAGCAGCTGAGATGCTGGGAGGGAGTTTTGCTGTGTTGGCAGCTGGACGCAGCATGGCCAGCAATCAGATGGCTCCAGTTCTAAAAGCAGGAGTGTTTTTAAGGCAAAGTGTGGTGCTTTGGCCAATGTGACTATAAGCCTTTGTGCCTGGTCTAAAAGATTCTTTTCCTCTGAAGCATAATGATTTCTACCCAGCATTCAAGTGGAATGTGACTCAACTCATGGTTCCATTTGGGCCCATTCACATTGCCAATCTCTTCATTACTAACTGTCCAACTTTGTTTCTCCCGCATAGCTCAGCTTAACCATTTCCCCAGGGTTCATTGTAGACCCTGAGCCCAGGCCATCTCTCTTGTGCACAAGGCACAATGAGATGGTAGAGGTTAGGGCCGCAGGGAGCCTTCCCTTGTCATGATCCTCCAGTAACCGGAGTAGCAGAGCAAAGTTATGGCACTGTGTGGCGTGTGGAGGGAAGCTGTGAGAGGCCACGGAGTGTCCCTGTCTTGTGGGCAGGAACGCTGCCAGTTGCAGCCATTGGAAGGCTTCCTGGGTCATGCTGGAGTTTCTAGACTTTACCCTCTGACCTGAGGAAGACGTTAAGCCCAGAAGGAAAGTGATTAGATTTGCACTTTAGGTAGACATTTTCCCCGCTTTTCTGGCAGCTGGTCAGATTAGATTGTTTTAGTTCAGGGTAGCACAGATGCAGAACTGGAGAGATTTTAAGATGATGGAGCCAAATTGGCAGAAGTTGGTGAGTGGATGAGGGGGAGGTAGAGACTGTGGGGTAGTGATGGGTAGAGGAAGTGACACGCTCTTCTGAGATGGATGCTGCAAGGGCAGAGCGAATCTGTGCAAAGTGGAAGCCAGTGTGATAGTGACTGAAGGAGGGAGTGGCTGGAACCTCTGTCTGAAGGAGAGTTCTCTCTTGCAGAGGTACCTGGGGGGATGGGAGCATCCCAACACCCAGGGGCCCTTCCATACTGGCTCATGCCCAAAGGAATGGCATCGGGAGCCTCCGACTCCTGGGAAGCTCCTGGCTGGGCCCATCTCAGCACCAGCTGCTGATCCTGTCAAGCCTGGAAGTTCTTTCCTGAAGCCCAGGATGGTCTGAGACACTCACAGTTTCCTGGAACAATTTCTTCATCTTTGGAAGAAACGCAGTAGCTAGAAGGATGAACAGGGCAAGTTCCTGTGAAAAGAATCAAAAGGAAAATTCAAGCAAAAACTCTGGAGCACGATGTTAAAGTTCAGTTCTTTGTGCTCCAGGAACTGAAGAAACTTTGAGCTGTACCTGCTTCCGGGGGCGGCTGCTTCTAATTTTTCCCAGACAGAAGAAAATGCCCTGTCATTAAGGAGGAGTGTCCCATCCTCCTGAGTCTCAGGCTTCGCAGCACTTGAGTCTCCACCCTGTGACCAAGGCTTGCCATTATTACAGGCTTCTCAGATAAGCTCTGGGAGGTCGCCTTTGTCCAAAATATTTCAGATCGACTTTTCCCCTTTTCTCTGAAGTAAGCGATTAGCCACACACTGATAAATTACTATGAAGTAAGGCTGGCAGTCTCCACGAGTGGCAGTTAGCTAGCACTGAAGGAACTTGGGTGTGAAGAGCTCCTGAGGAGCATGCTAAGGGACAGCTGTGGCTGATAGTACTGACTTTCCAGCAGTCACCCACGGATCTGCAGGGGGACTGATAATCAAACACTCAGGCTGGAGAAAGAACCATTCATGTGGACACTTGCACTTAAGAACACGATACATACCTCTCTCTCTAACCCCCAGAAGGAAAATAGATACCTTGCTCTTAATAGCCCTCATTAGAAGGACCACTTCAGAACCACCATTCAGAAAGCATTGCAGGGAAACTTTCCACTCTTTAGCTAGGCTTTCCAAAAATAGTTGAAGCTGTGTGCGAACCGGGCCTTGTCTGTCCACCCACAGGAGAAGGCATGAGAGCTTGGTATACTGAAGAATGTTGCAAAGGAATTTGCATGTTCTGATAAAAGGAAGAGCTTTGGAAAAAGAGACAGGGAGAGAGAACCCAATCCAAGGGTGAAGCCTGGCATGGTGGTGCACACCTGTAACCCCAGCACTCTGGGAAACCGAGGCAGCAGAATTGCAAGTTTGAACCCAGCCTGGGCAACGTAATGACCTAGTGAGACCCTGTCTCGATGAATGAATGAATGAATGAATGAATGAACGAACGGAGAATGGGGTGATCTTTAATGTTTAGATTCTTTCTGGAATCTGACCTCAAGTCGTCACGGTTCTGAGCTTGGTGTCCTTTCATTTGCCGCGGGCAGGTGTTCTGCCATTAAGAGGCAGCCAAGCAGGGTGGAGTCCCAAGTGCCCCATACTGTGGGGCACACACCTGGCATTTGCTTTTTGCCCATTTCAGTGATTTCATCTGTAACTCACATCTGTCCCCATGTGGTTACTCCGTTAGCTCAGTATGGGAAGAGCGCCATGCACTCTCCTACCTTTCTGTCACGGATTTAAGGATCCGTTTTTTGAATAGATGATATTAATTATCCTTTCCATGTTTTAGTGAGAATGTATTTGGCTGCAAGAAACAGAAAACTTATCACAGTGCTTAAGCAAAGCAGGTTTTTCTTATGCAGAAGACAAGTCCTGACTACTGCCTGCCTTGCAAGCGCAAGGACCCAAGTTTGATCCCTGGTACCAAAAAAACAAGACAAGTCCTGAGGCAGGTGTTGCTGGCACTGGCTGTGTAACGTTGGGTATAAGAGTTGTGTGTGTGTTTGTCTGTCTCTTCTTTCATTAGCCTTTCCTGCATGGTGATAACATGGCTTCTCAAGCTCTGTTCATTATATCTACATTCATGGCTGCGGGGAGGAGGCAGAAGGGTGGTGCCACACACTTTCCTTGGAAACTTCTGTGGAGGACTTCTGAGGTCTCATTGTAAGTCCTAGTTCCCTAGCCCACTTGTCCCAAAAATGAGGTTTCCATGGTTGGCTTGGCCCAGCCTCTCATTTCCATCACCTAGGAAATTGTCAGCTGCAGACAAATTTGAGATTCTGTTAAGCTAAGAGAATAGAAAAAAGGGGGAAGTTTTTGGAGTCAGATCCTTGCTACATAGTTCAGGCTGGCCTTGAATTCACTATGTAGTCCAGGCTGGCCTTGGACTTGCAAAGATCCTCCTGCCTCAGCTTCCTGAGTGCTGGAATTACAGAGATGCCCCACCACACCTAGCAAAAAAAAGGAAATTTTGAATAAGCAGGCAGCAGTATCTGCCACAAGTCTTCAGTGACCAAGGCCAAAAGAAGGCACTGTTCCCCTCTCATTTTTCATGATGATGATAATCACTCTAATTAAAAATTATTACCACAAAAGACTACAGAAAATGACCTTAATAAATAAAGACTTGAGAATTTGGCAACATATTTCAGAAACTTTTGATCCATGGTTTCATTTATAGGAACGCGTTCTACAGAAATTATTGTAACTGAGTACAAAGATTTAGCTACAGGGATTTTTTTTGCAACATCATTTATAAGAATGGAGGAAAAAAGGGAGGGAGGGTGATAAAAAGGGAAGGGAGGACGCGAGGGACGGGCAGTGGAAGGAGGAGTGCAGGGAGGAAGGAAAGAATCTGAACATCCCACAGTAAGAAATTGTTTAACTCTGTATTGTTCAGTATAGTATTAATTGCGCAGTAGCTAAGATCTGGTAGAAGATCATATAATTGCCTGAAATGTTGTCATGCTGTAAATTTCAGAAAAGGTTACAAAATGACCTGTGTGATGGCGTTCTGTTACACGTGAGATGGGCGCCTGTACAGATAGATACTTTAAGTTTATGTGGTTAGTGCTTATCTCTGGATGTTAGGGCCATACGTTAAAAAAATTTTTTTTTCTAAATTGTGTTATTCAAGTTCACGAGCTTTTTTTGAGTAGTAGGGGAAAAGTGGACAGCCTCATACTTAGAGGGGTTTTCCATGGAGGGCGGTCATCTGGCGCCTCCCGTCGCTGCTAGTGGGCTCTCCTCACGGAGTCTGTGAAGGGACGCTTCCCCGCTTCCTCCTCCAGGCTGCTGGGCTGCTTCCAGGTTTCCATCTTTGTGGATAGTGCTAGGATTATTAGCGTTATATTGAAGGCCTTTTTTTTCCCCATATTCTCCTTTATTTTCACAGAATAGTTCCCCAGAAGTGATATCACTAAGTCAGTAGGTATAAAGATTTTTTTTCTACTCATGATTCACGTTGCTAAATTGCTTCTCAGTGGGCCTGTACCAAAACACAAAGCTTCCAGAAAGATCTTGCCAGCACTGGGGTTTATAATTGTATTTAGTGTTTGTTAATTTAGCAGGCAAAGAATGGTATCTAATTATTTTGATTCTCATTGCCAGTGAGAAGCTGGACAATCTTTTCTGTAAGTTGTTCAGTTATTTTATTTTTAATTCATGGATTTTGCTATTCGTCTGTTGGGGTTTTCATTTTTTCCTTTTCATCTTATACAAACTCTTTCTATAGTAAAATTGCCCTTTTTTTATGTCCCTAGCCTAGCTATAGATATTTCCTTCAGGCTATTGTTTTCTTTCTTTGTTTCCCCCCCTTTTATATTCAAAAGTTTAAAATTATACAGTCAGGCCTGTCACTTTGTGATTTTTTTGTTATTGTTTCTTCCAAGTTTAGGAAATTACCCTTTCACCCCTCAAGCATAAGTTTGATAAATGTTCAATTCTGTTTGCATCCAGATTTTTAAAGGTTGGACTTTTTTTCACACTTACCTCTTTAACTTAATAGTAGTGTAGCATGCTAGTAGTTTTTAGTAAGGATTTAAATACCATGCCCCCATTTACTAATGTGAAATTATATGCTGAGTAATCTTCCTCACTAATTTATGACTTTTTTTTCCATAGCTGTTTTTCTCTAACTGGTAGGGGCTGTTCATCACCTGTTTGTTCTGTTTCTGTCATGAATCTGCTAGTGACATTTATTTCAAATTATGTATTTGATAAGGCTTTTCCTCGTTCATGAAGTTCCAAGCTTGTTTTCTGAAATTTTCTTCTTGATTTGTTCCAATTTGAATGTAAACAACGTCCTCTACAGATTTCAGAGTTCCTTTGCGGGCAGGAGCCAGGTCTTCTATATTATTGTTTGTTTCCTCAGTGAATCAAATTCCCTCTGGCTGCTTTCCACAAGGTGTGTGGGGATGCTGGGGCTCTGCCATCAAGGAATTCAGGACATGAAGTTTTTATTGAAAGAGTCCCTGTAAGAGGAAGGGGGACTTTGTCCATCTCTGCTAAGTCTCGTGTCTTAAGCAACAGGTAATATTATTTTCCACTGACAGCTCCAGAAGAGCTGAGTATGCAGCCCCGTGGCGGTGGCTTTATCAATGGGGCCGGTGGAAGCAGCCCAGGCTGATATAGAAAAGCTGCTCTTTTCCTCCTGGACCAGTGATGGCTAACTTTTTAGAGCTTTCAGTGACAGCAAACAGCCTGCTGCAGCAGTGTGCCATAGGTTCCCTACCCTGGCCTACACCATGGTGCAGCAGGGCTTACCCAGCACTTGTTATCCGTCAGAGTTTCCCAGGGCAGACTGCAGCTGCTGGTGTTGTGAAGACACTCAGAGGAGAGCGAGCCTGTGCTCAGGGGATAAGTGAGTCTTCAGCAAGACCTTGGGATTCTCTGCAGCCTTGCAGCCTGTTAGCTCTTTCTGTTTCTCAGCAACCATGTTTGAGCTTCCCATTGCTTTATAATAAAGGCATTGCCTATCAGCATTGCCCGTTCTCTGTTCAGACAGTGTATTTGCTAATTAAAATCCATTGCCTTGTCAGTGACTATGAGCCAGTGATTGATATGATTGCCTTGAGATTATAAAGACATTTTTATTATGGAAATATCAAAAAGCAGAAGTGTAGAGTAATGAATGCCTTGCACGTATCACCTGAATTTCAAGCTATTAACATTCTGAAACATTTCATCTCATTTATTGTTGTTGAAGTACTTTATAGCAGATTGAATGATGATTAAGCATGTAATCATAAGCCACATGTTGCATTTTACTGTTTTGTATCTTAAGCTTTTAAAAACTAGAACATTCCTGTGCTCGCTTCGGCAGCACATATACTAAAAAAGCTAGAATATTGCTTTCTCCAAATTTTTGGGGTGGTTTCCTTTTACATGACATTGATTTACAAGCATTCTTGAACCTATACAATAGGGTTTGTGAAGTTTTTCATGGATTCCTTCTGTGATGTTGCAATATTTCTTCTGTTGCTTTTGTCTTAGTTACTGTTAGACTTGCGTTTTTAATTTGTTTTTAATACTTCAGCATCAAACCAGCTTCAGTTACTTAAGTCGTGCTCAAGCCTTGTCTTGGCCAGTAGTGTTTACTGAGAAAACATTCCTTATATTTATTTCTTTTTAATCTCAAGATTCTTTTGGATTTATACCAAATGTATTGGCTTAAAGCTGGATATACAATAATAAAGATGAGTTCTGAATAGCAGTCACAAATAAAATTAATCAAAACTTTAATAACTATTCTTCATGTTCAGTTTGCAGAGAAATTTCAGGAGGTAAAAGAAGCTGCCAAACTCGCCAGAGAAAAGTCCCAGGAGAAAATCGAGACTTCAAGTAATCATTCCCAAGTAAGTAATTTGTCCGCAAAATAAATTGTGATCAGCTATTGAGATGCCTCTTTCCTTGTCACTCATGGCAAGAGAAGTTTAGCAGTAAGGCATTTTGAAGGACTTTTCAACTATTAGCCTGCTCACAGAAAGATGGATGTGACATGTTTTTATGAGACTCTTGAATTTTTCAAGATGTGGTAATATATGTTTGACAGAAAATGGTTGATGAAATTAGAGTTAATGCCGGTTCCCGGCCCCTGAGAGACATTCTGTGGTCACTGCTTAAAGCCAGTGGCAAGGCAGCATGCTCTCTTGCTGCAGTGAGAGGTGAGGTCTCCATTATGATGCCCATCAGTCTGCCTTGAGCCCGTTAGAGAAGAAATTTGGTACTAGACAGCAATGTGTCTCTCTCCCTCTTTTAACAAAATCCGAGTGGGAGATGGTATTCCCACAGCTGTTTCTTGGTTGGAGGAGAGCTGTCTGTGCCAGTAATCGAGTAGTCTGTCCGCTTAGAAGTGTGACGTTTGACTGAAAAGGACCCATTTTAGCCTGGCATAAAATATCAGCATTCTTGATGTCTACATTTTATATGAAGTGGTGAAGAAAGTCTTGGCAGAGAGAAATTCAGGGAAAGGGAAAGGGAAAGTTCGGGACCAGAAAGTTGGGGTCAGGATAAAACATGATGGCTGGGCTCGACGCGATGTGCAGATATGCCTGGAATACTGTGCAAGACCTGCCATTCTTCATTAGTGGAGAGTTTATTTACTAGTGGTTTGCTTGTTCTTGGGTAGCCAGTGGACATTGGAGGTGTCCATGACTATTGATCAGGAACTGGCATGAGGGTCATGTATAGCTGGTAAGGCAGGTAGATAGAAGGCTGTAAGGGGCAGGAGCCCTTCAGAGGCAGCCATAGTTCAAACAAGGAAAAGATGGGTGTCAGGAACAGATCCAGCAACAAGTACCAGGAGGCCTGGGTGTCTGGAGCTGCCAAGCTCTACTGTAGACCTGACCGTCAGCCTCACAGAAGGAGTGAGGAGAGGAAGGCAGAAGCCAGAGCTAGTTTAGGGAGAGGAGCCAGCAAAGAAGACAGGGGAGGAGGTCTAGCATTACTGCCCCCAAGTGGGGACCTTCAACATTTGGCGCTCACAGAAGAGGGCAGAGAGCACCTTGGGTTCTTGAGTCTGCTGGAAACCTGCAGCTTGGGCTATTTAACGAAGACAGAAGTTAGTTTTGTTTGTTCGTTTATTTTTGACAGTATTGGGCATCTAAGAACCTTTGCACTGTGCTGAATCCTCAGCCTCCTTTATTTTGAGACAGGGTCTAGCTAAGTTGTCCAGGCTGGGCTCAAACTTGTAATCCACCTGCACCATCATCCCAGAGTGCTAGGAGTTCAGGTGTGTGCATATTAGGTCTGTCTTATGTTCCCAGAAACTTGGCCTGAGCTTGTCTTACAAAAGATACCCCTGGTGGATTTATGGAAATGAATGTATATGAGGCTGCAGGTGGACAGAAGCTCTCCTGAACCTTTCTAAGTAACTTTAATATACTAAGTGCTACTAGTTAATTTAGTATACCAATTACTTAGTAATCTCAGGAGCTGTAAAACTGGACACTATTTTATAGAAATGTTCCATAGTTTAGAGACTTTCTAATACACTGTCTTATGGGACACAATGGCACACATACCTGTAATCCCAGCTACTCAGGAGGCTGAAGAGGAAGATCACACATTCAAAGGCAGCCTGGGCCTGTAGTGGGAACCCCATCTCAAAATAACAAAACAAGTGATGGAGATTTAGCTCAGTGGCACCATGCCTGCCTTGTAAGTGCAAGGTCCTGAGTTAGATCCCCAGTACCAGAAAAACAGAAACAAAGAAAAACAACAAAACAAAACCACATATACACACATATATACATATATATAAGAGAGAGAGAGAGAGAGACAGAGAGAGAGATTGAGAGAGAGAGAGGGAGAGAGTCTTTTTCTGAATATTATATGTTATAGTATTCTCTTTAAACTTAAAAGGCAGAATTTCTCTATAGGTGGTTTTGTTTTAATATATGTCCCCTCAAAATAATTTTAAAACTTAAAAAACAAGTATATCCAATACAATATCATTGTGTGTATGTTAATTATGTAGAAATGAATTTTTCTCTCAAAGCTTTAGTTTTTATTTGCCATTCCTGATGTTTCCTTAGATACAGAGATCATTGTACATTTTTTTCTTTTTATTAGAAATCAGTTGCTTATTTTCCTGAATTTCTTAAAGATGAATACTTTGACCAAGATTTCCCAGTAGTTGAATATTTAAGCAGCCTAATTACAAAAACAATAAGGGTTTTTTATTATATAAATAAAACATATATCACACTTTAAGAAGAGAATAAAAATCACCAGCTCTGTTCCTATTCAAAACTGTTTTAATGGCTAAACAGCATTCCTATGTGTTTGTGACATGACTTATTCCACTAAGCTCTTAAAATGTGCAATATCTGTGCTGTTTCTAGTTTTTCAACATAAATAACACTACGATGAAAGTTCCTGCCCATCTTTATATGTGTTATGGTTTCTTCAGGATGAACTCCTGAGCAGAAGTATGGGTGTGTTTAAAGCTTTTGATGTGTCCTGTGCACTTGGCCTACAAAAATACACAGTTCCCGCTCCCACCAGCAGTGAATAAGGGTTTTTCTCCCCACACCATCACTAAGAAAGCTTTGTTGATTTAACAGATGAAAAATGTATCTCATTGGATTTATTTTTCTAGTGACAATAAATATTTTTGTTTATTTGTACTTTTCTTTTGTAAATATCAATAGTCCTTTTCTTTATTTAAAAAATTAAGTTATCTTTTTTGTATTGATTCCTAAGGGATTTACATATTTTTTAACATGGCAAATTTTGAACACATACAAAACCAGGCACAACTGTACAATGAACCTCTAGGTCCCCATAGGTCAGCTTTATTAATTAGGAAGTTTTGACCAGTTATTCTGTGTATGCCCCCCACTTCTCTCTTGTTCCTGTTTTAAAGCAAATCCCAGATATATTATTTCATCCATAAATACTTTAGTATGAAGCTTTAGACAATAAGGACTCTTTAAGAGTTTTTCAGTAGAGAAAAGGCATTAATATTTTACATATAATATTTGCTGCAAATACTTTCCCCAGGTTTTTGTTTGCATTTTAATTTTGTTTGTGACTTTTTTTTTTCAGTGCAGGAATTTAAAATTAGAATTACTGACATTGTGAAATGGGAAGAAAGGGGCTAAAGGTATAGGAAAGGTGGGATGGGTAGGGGAAGGGTAATGAGGGGAAAGAAAAAAATGTGAGATAATGAAAAGATGGAAATAAAGTGTTTGTAGATGGGGAGGGGAGGAGGGGGTGAAGGGAGGGCAGGGACAAGGGGAAAAAATGAGAACCAAAACCTGTCATGTAGAGGTACAAGATCCCAATGATGAATGTAACTGTACTGTATCCCTAAAATGTACTAGTAAACTCAATTAAAGCTGAAAAATAAATAAATAAAATTAGTCAGATTTATGCATCATTCCTTTCATAGTTCTTCCCTTTGCCTTTATGCTTATTAGAGGCTAAATAAAATCTAAGATCTTATCTAAGACCAGATGAGATTTCATTTCCGGGTGGTCTGGCTTATTCAGAAACCACTTTAGGATATTCATAACAATGCTAAGCAGTAATGGAGACAGCAACATCCATATCTGGCTCCTATTTTTTTGGTACCGGGGATGAAACTCTTTTGAGGCAGGTGGCAGAACCACTGAACTAAATACCACGTCCCTGGCTCCTATTTTTAAATGGATATGTTAATCTACTTCCCTGTAGCCCAAGTATTTTTAAGTTATCTCAGCTTTAATACTTTTTCTCTGCCTTCATTCACTATGTCTTGTTATTTATTTTTTTATCTAGTGTCTCTGCCCCTTTTAACCTTTGTCTTCTGTCTTGTGGTATATAAGAAGTCCAGATGCGCAAACTTTCTGGGTTTATCTGCAAAGTTTAAATAAAAAAAGTAGCAGCCCCAGGTGTTCTCTTATCAGTGAAGTGGGCAGACTTTATGGTCTCCTGCTCTTTAGGGTATTTTTCCCCTGTAATTGGTAGCCTTTTTTAGCCTCTTTTGTTTGTTAGTATTCACTGCCTTCTGGGTGAATAAGTTGGTTCATCCACACTCACAAACATGTAGTTTCTCGTTGTACCTAATTTTCTGCCAGTGTGGGGACAAACAGTAATGTGTAGAGATAATTCACTTTGGCCAGGAATCTGGGTGTGAAACCCCATCTCCTACTCAGGCATCCAGTGTCAATGGGACGGACGATGAAAAGGCCTCTCATGCAGGTCCAGCCGACACACACCTCAAGTCCGAGAACGACAAGCTGAAGATTGCTCTGACGCAGAGGTGAGTCTCCTGGTTAAAACCCAGTCCTGCTATCTGCACATTCAGCACTTCCTGGGGGGCAGGGTTTCAGACAACTGAGAGAAGTCTAGGCCCTGTTCAGAGCCTCTCGTCTTGTCTCCCGGTCAAAGGAAAACCAAGAGGTTTTGCATGGCCTTCTCTGTCTGGCCAACCACGTCAACATCAGTTAGTATGTGTGTGAATGTGGGAAAGTGTGTGAGTGAGGTGGTGTGTGTGTGTGTGTGTGTGTGAGTGTGTGTGAGTGTGTGACTGAACGTAGGAGAGGGAGAGTGCAGGTGTGCAGGGCAGTGAGTTGTGTGCAAGGGACAGTGCACGAGTATGAGAGAACATATGGAATGTCTCTTAAATTGGGCTTTGTTTTTGAGGAGACACGTTTATTATTTATTCATATGTAAGATTAAGTCATTATCCAACAGAAGTATATAAAAAACCAAGAAACAATGAAAAATAGTGTGAAATCACATAAGTCATTGGGCAAAAGACATAATTTAGGTACATAGGATATATACTTGAAGAAGAGATTTCCTTTACTGTATGAACTGAAACCATAAAATACCTAAGAATAAACTTGCCAAAAGCCATACACGATCTGCCTGAACCAATCTTTAAAATGATTTTGAGGTTCATAAATTAATTACTTAAAAAATAGAAACATATGTGTTTTCTCCTTTTAAATATATTTTTTTAGTTTTAGTTGACTGTATTTTACGTATTTATGAAGTACGGTGAGGTATGGTGTGATGCATGCGTACAGTGCATCATGGTCTGAGTAAGTGGCATATTCATCACTTCAACATAGAGTGATACATTCTTTTGGGAAGTGGTAAGAAACCTTGATATTTTGTAAGGAAGGTATCAGTTTCTGTTAAGTAGATCTATACATTTAACATGATCCCCAAACTAGAATCGAGGTGATTTAAATTTTTAACAATGACACAAGCTGTGCTAATGTTTCTGTGTTGAGGACCAGCCCATGGCTGCCTTCAGATCATCTTGCTCTCCTGGCCAGGTGCTTCACCCTCCCCGACCTCCTCTGTGTACCTGAGAAGCTGCCCTCTCAGACTTGCCCATTTATGAGCTGTGTCATCTTAGGAGCCATCCTGTCTAACTTCCCACATTATGCAGATGAGGAAACCGAGTCTCAGGTGGTCAAATGACTCTCAGGCCAGGGTCATGCAGCTAAAAATAAATCTCCCCATCACCTGCACTGCTTGCCTTTCACTCAGGGATGCGGTTGAGAATGTCCCACAGGCAGCCAGTCATTATTCCACAGCTGGAGCTACCTCGGGGCCGACACTCACCTCCCCAGTCAGCTGGCCTGGCTAGTAGTTGCTGCTTATTTCCTGTGGCCTGGTTATCCAGAAAACATGTGAGACCCTAGATCCCACAGCCTGCTTCTGGATTCTGGGTCATTGTCAGGTGAAAAACAAAACTGGGACCACTCTATTTTCTTACTCATCAGGCAGGTGTGAGGACTTACTTGTTTCGATCACACTGGGCTGTGAATGAAGACATTTCATCCCTAAAACTAAATGTTTTCAAATCTGAGTTTAATGAATTAAGTGAGTTACAGGAATAGATATGAAGCTACTTCCCTAAATCAGCTTAAATTGTCAGTCACCGACTCTAGAATTCATCAGATTTTACTATTTTTTCAGTCTGTGGTATTTGGAACTGAAAGTGTATTTTCCAGTCACATTCCTAATTTCTTGAGGCTGTGGACTGAAAGATAACACAAATTATTCAGTCACAGTGCATTTGCTTTAAAAAATTTTTTGAAGGCCTTTTAGAAGAGGACTGTCCTCAGCCAGACGCAAACTTATGGGCTTGTCATGTGCAGCTCTGCTCTGTCACCTCAGCCACACTCAGCATTACAGATTGTGAGCTCCTAGAAGAGGAAGATAAGGGAGGGTCAAGGGAGCAGTGACTGAGGGGAACCTGATTTGTTTGTTTTAAATTTCATACTCACTGAGCATACAGAATAAGAGGAAAATCGGGAGGTCTCTGTGGTGAGGATAGAAGTGTTTCATAGACCTCCATCTCCTCACACCCCTGAGGTGACAAGATCAGGGGACAGGCAGTGCTCCCTCCCACACACAGGGTGGGACAGCCATTCTGCTCATAAGAGGCCAATTCCCAGTTACTGTCTCCTCTGTCCTCAAGCCTTCAGCTCTCAAGTCTGGATTCCTCTCAGGGCCCTGAAGAGGCACGAATGACGTGGCGCCATTTTTACCTGGAGCAGGTGTCTGTGTACATGTTGTTTAAACGAGGTTCTCGGTCAGGCTCCAGAGAGCTGTACATGGCTTTCAGGAGCGCCTCAGAGGACCCATAGTCTACCCCAGTGTGCAGAGCTTCTGTCCATGGGCGTATTTCAGGAAGGGGGTTCTGTACAGGGCGTCAGCAGGGAATGAAGCTCTGTCTCCTCATTCTTTAAGACCTCGGTTCTCTTCTGAGGCAATTCTTTAAGAAAATAGCCCAGTGAGCTGACTTGTTCACCCTAGAGAGAGTCCCTGTCCCTTGTGTCTGTTGGTCTATGCAGTTAGCCCCCAACCCTGATCACTGGTGAGGGAGCATATGAGCTCCCCTCCGCCTGGATGAGGGGTGGCAGAGTCCCCCTTCCCTGCTGGGTAGAAGTGCAGTGTGATAGACAGCACCCTCATCTCCTTCCCTGGCACCCCCTCCCCATCTGGCCTGTTTCCTGCCCCACAGTGCTGCCAACGTGAAGAAATGGGAGATCGAGCTGCAGACCCTGCGGGAGAGCAATGCCAGGCTGACCACGGCACTGCAAGAGTCAGCAGCCAGTGTGGAACAGTGGAAGAAGCAGTTCTCCATCTGCCGGGATGAGAATGACCGGCTCCGCCACAAGGTGGGCCTCAGGGAGCCACAGCGGGAGCAAGAGCCGGTGGGCTGCTGCAGTAGCAGGAGCTGGGATGCCCCCGTCTGCTCTTTGACCTCCCCCTCCCCCATGGGCAAGGAGAAGACTTTCTTCTCTCCCCTGGAAGCATCTCTCTGCCTCCCCACCTTTCCCAGTAGAAATTTAATCATGTACACTATTGATTTATTACTTTTATGGAAGCAAGTTTATAATTCCTGTTTTTAAAGAAGAAGATGAATTAACTGAGGGTGTAGCCTTGTCCCTCTCGGAGGCTCCTCTGGTTCTCCTCACGGCTGGCCTTTGATGTGGGTGCTCTTTCCTGGCATTTCTGTGGTGTAATGATCTGCAGTAGAGGAAGGGAAGCCAGGGTATGAGAGAAAAAATATCCAGGAAATAATGAGGAGCATTTGCTCAGAAGCTCTGCTTCCATTCAGATCATTATTTTTTAAATGCAAATTTAGAAGTGAGAAAAGATTATGCTGCTTAAAGCACAAGGAAGGTGGGTGCTTACTGCTATCGGTTGCCTTCTAGTTCTCAACTTTGACATCCGGCGTTTAGAGTTTTTCAAAATCCACCTGTAATGTTGCCTGTAGGAGTCATTGACTCTCTGCTGTTCTGCCCAGATGACAAGGAAGTGTTGGAGCAGCTGAGGTCCTGCGGGTCCTGTGCTGACCATATTGTGGTGGTGAGACGGTAGCCACCCCAGCATGGGCACACAGGCCTTCAGGGGACACATCACATTTAGGCTGGTGCTCACTGTCCCCTCGCCTGCGTGTGTGACCTACTCTGCCCAAAGTGGACAAGCTGCTGTAGATCAGCCACTGGTTGCACTTTGGTGCTGATGCCATAAAGCTACCTCGTGTCATTTTTTCATCTCAGTGTTGAAAGTGCTGACACTTGTGGGGCATCAGACCAACTGTTGACTCTGTCTCTTTCTGACCTGGCCTGGCAGGTCTGCCCGCCCTTTCTTTTCCTTTTCTTAAGCAAAGAGTTGAGTTTCTCGCTCTGGTCTGAATGTGGAGACCATGGGCAGTGGGGAAGAAGGTAGGATGTGTGATTCCTTGGAGGAATGTGGCCCTCCCTGGGCGGGGACACATCAGGAGCTTGATTTCCAGGATGGAGGTAGAAGCTGGTGGCAGTTGGTGCAGCCCACCTCTGAGCCCACCATCATGTCAAAGGTTGCTGCTGGCTTGTGGGGCCCGATCACTACGTTGTCTTCATGTTAGGCGTTAGTTCTGTTCCTACCACCCACTCTGCATATGCCTTTGGGTCCCTGAGAAATACTCAGTGTTGGGTGACAGTGGGGTGTTAGGCCTCTTTGTGCTCACTCCACACTCATAGCCCTTTGGAGCGTGCTGACCTGGACAGGAAGGAAAGATAGAGCCCGGGGATTTGCCACCAGTCTCAAAGGAGGACTTAGCAGGCCTCTCTGCATGTGTCGAGGGTAAGGCCACCTTGGTGCTCAGGATTAGAAATTTCATTGCCCTGCATTTGGGAGCCACTGTTTCACAGAGTTGCTAGATTCTCTACCCTGCTGGCTTAAACCCTTGAGATAATTTAAGACATGTAAAAATCATTTGGGGGACATTTAAGCTGTGACATATCTTTAAAGGAAACTTCTTATATGGCCTTGAGAGAAAGCCAGAAGTCCAGAGTATCCTGAAGCTTGGAGCTTGTTCATAGCCACAGAGAAAAACTTGTGAGTGGGTTGGTTTATGTGTATTTTTAAAGAAAGCATAACATATCTGTGGGAGTCTCCTGTTTAATGACTAAAGCCGACTAGCATCCTTGCTTTACTGTGTGATGTCTCTTGAAGATTGATGAGCTAGAAGAACAGTGCAGTGAGATAAACAGGGAGAAGGAGAAGAATTCACAGCTGAAGAGGAGAATTGAAGAACTAGAGTCAGAACTCCGAGAGAAGGAGACGGTGAGTAATGGTGCTTGAGCAGGGCCCTCGGCACCCTCGGAGCCTCAAGGGGAAACTGCTGTGATTTCCACCGTGGACACAGCTGGTAGCCTAGAGGATGTGACTGGCCCTGGCAGCTGCCAGGACACCAGGACAGAGAGCCAGGAGTCACACCAAGGTACAGACTCCAGAGCAAAGGAAGGCCTCGCCATCACCCTGCAGCCTCCGTGTCATGCGTAGGATACACAGTCAGTTACTCAGATCCAGGACTGAGTTGCACATTTTACAGAACACCCCAACATTTTTATGGATCAACTGTCATCACAAGTTGGGTTCTGTCAGAGAAATGTGGTTAGAGCTACTATGATACGGTCATTTACATTCTGGGCATCAGAATAGTTAAGTACACACATGTTGGAGACCATGGGCAAGTTACCAAGCCTCTCTAGATCTTAGTTTTCCCATCTACAAAACAGAAATCATAAATATGCATACCTCTTCATGGTGCTGTACAGACACTTGTGATCATGTGTGTAACACACAGCCCCTAGAATCTCCTGATATTTAAAAGTAGCAGCAATATTATTATTTATGCCAACAGGACAGGTTCCAAAAAGCAACATCCATTAGTGTATATTCAAGTTAGTAATTTTCAAGAATACATTTCTCAGAGTGTTTTTTTTTTTTTAATTTCTGTCTCCTGTAGGAATTGAAAGATCTCCGAAAACAAAGTGAAATCATACCTCAGCTCATGTCAGAGTGTGAATTTGTCTCTGAGAAGTTAGAGGTGAGAGGGGCACACCTGTCTGGCTCAGACGGGAAGGTGGTGGTTGTGTTACTGATTTCTTCGCTCTCTCACACTTTCACACAAGGATGGTAAAGAAGAGTAATTTTCTGTCTGTAAGGATGGCAGTTCACCATCCTTGTCTCTGGAGGCAGACTCAGCAGCCTTGTTCTTTTTGTTTTTTCCACCTATGCAAAGGTGTCCTGTGCATAACCGTTATGCAGGCCACTCAGAGACAGTGAGGAGTGGGCAGCAGGGTGGCCTGAGAGCACAGGGCCAGGGCGCACACCCACAGCCATCATTCCCCAGCCCCTGACCGTGGGCAAAGCTTCCTCGCTCATCCATAAAATGAGTTTTTCAGGCGCTCCTTCACTTCCAGTCTCTGCACTTCCAGTCCTGTTGACATACATGAGGAGTGCTTTATTGAGGTAAACAAGCCCACTTCTGTATTGGTGACTGGCTCCTGGGCACATGTTCAAGAAAGCCCCTGTTTATTGTCACAAAAACCAGTCATTTGACGTGAAGAGTACAAGCCCAAGGACCCTTTGAGAACACATGGCTTTCTGGTCTGATTTACCCAGATGGGCCTCTCTTGGTTTGTAGGGCCCAGCTCTGCAGAAAGTCCCCATGGTGATAGCGTCAGGGATACAGATGCCTGTCCCTGTGTCACGGGCACAGCTCACCTCCCCTCTCCAGGGCCAGACATCAGCCTGAGGCTGAGGAGGCCTTTCGGTGGAACTGTAGGACACTAGCCAGTTTCTCTCAGAGTAAAACCCAGAGGTGAACCCAGATTTGATTGTCCCCAGGCCAGGATTTCAGACCATCACTGCTAAACCCTCTGTGAAGTCCCTCTGTCAGAATTCTGCATTCTGAGCTGAGACTTGAGTTTCAGGCTAGATATTGGTTGCCAGGTATAGGCTAGATATTGGTCAGCCTGTTGGTCTCCCTGTGAGAGAACAGGCAAGAAAGGAGGGGCCCTGAAATGCTCACTGCCTCTTTTCCGACATCGTGGTCCAGGCTTGTGTGTTGAGGGGCTAAACTTGTCTTTAGACTTTAGCCCCCCAGCCCAGCCCACAGGTCTGATGGAGAAGGCCCTGTTCCCTGAATCAGGCTTTGCCTATGACTCCCATTACTGTGCCTCAGACCTTCTCCCTTTTTTGTTTTCTTAGGCAGCTGAGAGAGACAATCAGAACCTGGAAGACAAAGTGCGGTCTCTAAAGACAGACGTTGAGGAGAGTAAATACCGACAGCGCCACCTGAAGGTGGAGCTGAAGAGCTTCCTAGAAGTGCTAGATGGAAAGATCGATGACCTCCATGACTTCCGCCGAGGCCTGTCCAAGCTGGGCACGGACAACTAGGGTGGCAGAGCCCGGGCTGCTGTGAGTCCCACGTGTGTGCGAGTCGCAGTAGGACGAGGACACGCCCCTCTTTGCGTTGCTTCTGTAAATGCCAATGCGGTGTGTTGTGTTTCCAGACCAGGTGTGCCGTCCACTCATTCCTCTTCGGATAGAAATCTCCTCTAGCTTCTCTGGCCTTTGAGGTGGTGGACAACTGGAAGATTCTGACTCAGGAATCCAGAACTAGGTCTACCTTAAAGTTTACGCAGTCAGCGCAGGGATGTTTATATCTTTCTAAAGGGCTGTTGCAACCCTACCGAAAAACAAATCTTTTCTAACTCAAATATCCTTTATGACAGGCTGTTTTGATCCTTTTATTGAATAGCACTCAGAGTATGTAATAGTCCATCAGGTTCTGGTCTGTGGGGGCGTGGAGGGTACAGCTTCTCTCTCAGTCGGCATTGAGATGCTTTAAAGCAAGCAAGTAGTGGAAACCTGTCCGGAGAAAGAAAGCACGTTTTTGGCGGGTGTGCCTTCTGGCATGGGAGATGCTTGCATCCACCACATTATACTCTCCCGTTATGTTCGGTTTTGACAATTCTCCTTTCCTTGGTTTGAACTTCTGAGCAGATGCTCATGCTGTGGGAACAACATGCAGTGAGGTTGCCTAGCTCAGTGCCTGGCACAAAGTAGGTGCTCAATAAATATTTGTTCAGTTGAACATCTAAACAGAACTTAGTGTTTTAATCCAACCCCATAGCAGAGTTCAAGCCCTGTTGAATGATATGCTCTTTGTCACGCTGGGTAGTTACCAGAAAGAAAGGCACCTACCTGGCCAAACCTGAGGGTGGCTCAGGTGTAGCAGACAAGTCAGAGTCTGATCTGCGGCCCCACAAGATCCTGACCATGACACTCTGACCCCCCCGGGGGGGGTCTCTGTCCCTGGGGATCTCTGTCTCTGGGACCACCTTCATTTCTGGACATGGTGGCTTGGAGCCTGAGGATTCCAGAACACTGTGTCTGTGGCACAGGATTGCCCAGGGCATGGGGACTAGGGTATGATCTTGTGCAGGGTTTGGAGACCTGAGAAAGAAATTATACAGGCTGATGAGTGTGAGGAGTTCTACTTATCTAGGGAGCTTCAGCCTCAACAACAGAGAAGCTCTGCCTGGGTCTGCCTCTTGCCTTCCTCAGCAGGAAGTGATTAGAACCATAAACCTCTCCTCTCATACAGAGCTGCTCATGGGCCAGTGGGCCTTTGCGTGGCATGGCCTCCATTGGGAGACATCACCCATCACAGATGGAGGTTTGAGTCTCTGGCCTCACACATTTCTTAATGCCCTGAGTACAGACTTTGCTGCCCTCTTACCTCTCTAAGTACCACCGAAGGGAACTTTTCCCTTGAGAAACAGTTTCTCTTGGGATTAGAAATCCTTCCTGCTGAAACTAGACCAATGAGAAAACAGCCTGAGGAGGAGGTTGTCCATACCCTCATGTCTGAGTCTTCAGCTCTCCTTCCCCAGCCGAGATGTCTCTGAGCAGGAAAGTCTTGCTTGGGATAGGAAAGGAGGGCAGGCTGGTAAATTGGAGCACAAGGATACTTTAGGGAAGACCCTGCAGACTTCATGGGGCCTTGAGTACACAGGGCGCTTAGACGGGAAATGGGAAGTGTGGTCCACCCTGCTGTTATTCAGACCAGGGGGCTGCCTGGCCTGCCCTTTCCCCTGAGCTCCAGGTGGCTGTCAGGAGGGTAGGTCCCAGCTCCCTACTGGCAGTTCCAGGAGACCTGAGAGCTGGACGGGCCCCAAGTTGGTCCTGTGGCCCAGCAGCAGAGTAAAGGAGATTCCTCTCAGGCCACTTTGGCCCAAGCCTGTCACTGCCCTGGAGCGGTGAACACTGGGATCCAAACACCCTCAGCTTGGGCCTTCAGATGACCCCAGCTCTGTCTACAGCAGACTTATTAATCTAAAGAAACCCTCTTGGCTGACTGTGCTCAGGTGACACACTCACAGGTGGATAGTTGCCAAAATGGCAGTGACTCTAGAAAATGCTGACATAGAAGTGTAGAGTGTTGCAAGTCATTACCACAGTGTACTTCTGTGGGCCTGAGACCCAGGATCCTGTTCACCACTGAGAAGTGTACTAAGCAGCTTATAGCCAGTGGTGAGGGGCTTAGATTTCTCATACTATTGGGGCTGTCCAGCCTTGGACTCTTGCAGCCCACGAGCTGAGGCGGAGTCCTTTAAAGGGAGGATTGGATCCCTCACTGAAAGCACAAAGCTTGACAGAAGTATTGACCTTTTCAGTCCTCCTGCTTTCATTTAAAGACCATAATGTTTCTTCATTTAGCTTTTAAACTAAGAATGGCCCAGGAACGACCAGAACAATCAGCCACAGGACTGGTCTGGCTGAGAGCCTCTGGTACCTTGGAGGGAAATTGCAGTGACAGTGCCATCGCGTCTGTCCTAGGTTTCTAGTAACACGGTCTTGTGGGTCCTGATGACCAGTGCAGTCTCGGCACTGTTGTGTGGCCTTGTGCCATGTGCAGGCCGGGTATCACCTTTTCCCTCATAGCCATAGCAGCCACATTGGGCTTCCCAGAAGATGTTAAGCCAGGGGCAAATTGTCAGCTTCCAGATGAGGCCTCCTCGATTTTACCATCACCAAGATTGGCTGTATGTACCTGGATTGGCTTTTGTTCTCCATCTGTGAAGCCTGGGGCCTAAAAGAAGCCAAGTAAAACTCAGAACCGTGAACCATGGTGGTCTTTAAAGATAACTTCATTCCAAGATGAGGCTCAGCTGGATGCATTTCTCCTTCCCAGGTGGAAAGGAGAGAGGATGTCTTCCAGGTACCCTGGGAATGTAAAACCGCTAGGGTGACAGGTTGGGAGAGTGTGCTCAGGCCTTGGGTGAAAGAACCCAGCGTCCACACCGGCCATCTGACTGGCATACTCCATCAGCCCTGCACAGTATCATTTTAGACCTTGATAGAGAGGGAGAGAAAACTTGGCAGAAATCGTTACCTGCATTCTGCAGTTAGGAAGCAGAGACAGAGAAAGTGACATGCCCAAGAACCTGGCGTGACCAGCATTGTGGGCTCTGCATCCTGTCTCCTGGACATCGGCCTGGCAGTGTTCTATGAGCCATATCTCTGTTCTCTCTTCAGCCATATCCCTGTTCTCTCTTCTTGAATCCTAATAAGAGCACATTGCAATTATGTTATTTCGATGTGGATCCACAGCAAAGGACCACTTACCCAGGGGCGAATCAGAATTATGTTTATGTTCCTTACAATAAGTCTCATTTAGAGTGATTCTTGTTTTTTAGGGACCTGTTCCAGAAACTCTTGGTGACAGTGATGTCCAGGCTTGAGAGGCCAGTTCGGTGGCACTCGGGCTCACTTTGAGTTCTTTGTTGATAGCTTTAATGGAAACAGTAATCATGAGAATAGGTGGTCAGCCCTGAGACTACAGAGACATAAACAGTGGACCTCCAGAGACCTCTGCAGGGGAAGGAGGCGGTACTAGATGGGGAGTGGGCTTGCGGGGTCTTAGAGCAGGTCGTATGCACCCAGAAAGACTGTCCTCAGGGGCAGTCTCTGGCTGGCAGTTTCCTCGAGCACAGCCATCGCAAAAGGTGCCTGGCTGGCGTATTCTGTGTTTGTTACTATACATCAGTTAAAGGGTGTTGGCTGAAACAGTACTCTGCCCTGAAGCATCCCTAACTGCCCATTTGAAAGGGGTTCATGCTTCTATAGACAAGTCTGTCGAAACTAGGGAGACGCGGATGAGAGCCAACCACAGAGCCACCTCGTCCTTGGAAACAGGGCAGCCGTGGTGTGACTTAGTGTAAGCGCTCAAAAGAGACTGCCCTCTGCTAATAACTGAAAGTGGGTTGATGCACCATTCACCCTTCTAGAAGGTACACTTTACTTACTCACTTGAAATATCACTGGATTTGGAAACACTTGAAATAGAAACTAGAAGCTTGAAAAATTAATGTCCATATATTGTTTTTAATGACATGCATGGTTTAAATGAACCCTAATTTCTGAGTACATGGCTTCCCCAAAGAAACACTATATATTCTGGAGATGGTGGGTGATGGCATGAAGAGGGAATCCTGTGTAGAAATTTATGTGTTTTTTTTAAATGTCTTTTAACGTACCTATCTCAAGAATAGAGTTCTTCTTTAAATATGGCCTAGCAAGATGACTGTGCTACGAATTCTCATCTGTCTGAAATGTTCTGGTGAACTTAGAACTCTGTGGATGTGTGTGCATATGTTTGTGTGGGTGTGGGTGTGTGGGGTGTGTGCTGAGGGAGGAAGGTGCAAATGGCAGCAACAGAAGCAATAAGGAAGTTTTCAATGTAAAAATATATACCCGAGAGGAGTCTTTAATTTGAATTATTTGGGGGTTGATGTTCTATGTTCTGGAATCCATTCATGAGAAGTGTGTGGGTCTTCGTTATGAGTGGAATTGTACAGTGCCCTACTATCTTTGACAGTGCAGAGCTGGCTGTGGGGTGTTCTCTGGCACCCCGGCACGAGCACAGACAAACCACAGTGAAATCCAAACTTTGTACATGTGGCCAGGTGATTGGCAGGACGGATGCTCTGCAGCGGTGGAGAATGTATTATGTTCCTGTCTTTTCCCTCTTGTACTACTTTGAAAAGAAAGTCCTTTCAATCAGTTGTTACAGCAGTGTCTTATTAGATATGACAGGAAAGAAAGCATTTCTTATATCAAATGTGAGAGTTTAATGATGAGTACAGGGTTGATAAGTGGACTCTCCCAAGAATACCATTGTTTTCCTTTAAATGCTTTTTTGGTATATGAATAAGATATACATTTTTTAAGAAACTAAAGATAAGTGAAAAGAAAAAAATCACCTATTAATACCCCATCTGATTATAACCACTGTTAACATTTGGTGTCTGTTGAGACTGTTTCCTCTGCATCTATATGTGCTTTATTACTTTTTCCATGAAGTATAATCAGATTTACATACTGTTCTATAACTTGTTCTCCCCCTTATATTGTGAATGTATTTCTATATCAATATGTAATTGTAGCCTTTTAATATCTGTGTAGGTCATATCTTGTATACGTAGGCTATTTTCGCCTTTTTACTGTTGTAGTCAAAGACATGATGAAACTCTTCTGACATCTTTGTAAACTTTTCAGAATATTTACTTAGGGTAATTTTCTAAGAGGGAACTTGCTGAGCTTCTCACTATCGATGGCCCCATTCCTTCCTAGGCACATGGGAGCCTCTACCCTCTGATGTCCCTGGAGTCATTTGGGTTCTTGTGACTAATCCAGCCAGTGAAAGGTGGGCAGAGACTAAAATATCCACGCTCAGCGCCCCGGTGTCTGTACCCTTCCCTCAGCAGTGTGACATCCTGGGTGGAACCTCCATCAGCCTGGCCTCCCAGTGAGGGTCTACAGAATAGACGCTCCCTTCACTTCTGACCCACTACTAGCCTGCATGGACCTGTAGTGATGATAGAGAAGATAAACCTTAATGTGACACCACTGGGACTTCAGGGTTAATTTGTTATCGCAGCGTAACACCCTTTTCTGACTAATGATTAAAAAAGGTAGGCATGTTTTTAGGAATTTTATCATATGGGATATGATCAAACAATACTAATATTGTACATGTTTATTGTAAAAGACACATTACCATTAAACCCCCTCAAAATATCCCCCTTTACTTTAAATATACTTACCCGGTCATTCTTGCTGCTTTCTGAAGCAGTTCTGACGTCCTCTTTCGTGAGGGTCTTTAGTTGCAGTCATGGCTGCCTCAACGTCCTCAACTGACTCAAAATATTTACCTTTCATGCTCATTTTGACTTTAGGGAAGAGACACAGTCTCATAGTACCAGATCCAACGAATAAGGTGAATGAAGACACACTCTAATGTTTTTTACAAACCTACCTCTCCATTGGATAGCGCTCAGCAGTAGCATTCACCATATTTTTTGTCACACCTAGTACAGGCACTCATGAAAGAGGGCAGGACTTCCAGAACTGCATCAGAAAGGGGCAAGAACGATGAGGCAAGTGTTGGAAGTGAGGGAATGTGTTTTAAGGAGGCTTTTTATTTTGAACTTTTATTAGTACATATTTTGCAGTTCATGCAGTTTGAGGAGGCTTAGGCAATGTGCCTTTTTCTGTAATAATGTTTTACTTGAACATTCATGGTGTACTGTGATAATCCCTCGTGTCACCTCACATTGCCTTTCAGAAAGATGATTCCCAAATATATGCCCACCCCCAGCAGTGTGTGAGAATGTCCAACTCCTACTTTAACACTGTTACTAGGAACTAGAGACATTCAAAAAATTAAATTTTTTATTAAAATAGTGACCATCATGAGAAAATGTATTCATTGAATTATATGTTTTTGTAATTTACCTATATTCATCTAGTCTGGCCAGTTTTCTTAGGAGTCTAGTGTCTTCATTGATTTCCAAGAGGTTTTTAAAAATAAATATTGTAAAATTTTTAAGTTGTATTATAGCTTTTTAAAAATACTCAAACATCAGTCAAATCTTTTTTTTTTTCTTTCAGTTATTACCTTTGCCGTCATTCTTATGGTCTTTTCATTTTTAATTCCAGGATTGTAAATATCCATCAATATTTTATTCTTGTACATTTAGTTTTCTTCTTAAACAGTTAAATCTGATAAATTGGAATTTATTTTCTAAATTGCCCAACACTATTGATCAGGATTTCTGTCCTTTCCCTACCATATGAATCCTATTTTTACTGTATACCTTCAGTCCTTGGGCACCTTGGATATGTGTGTGCTCTCCAGGTGCCTCTGAGCTTCACCCTGGACCGCCGTCTGCCTGTATAGTCCAGCACTGGGAACACCTTGTTTGATCATTGTAACACTAGATCAAGTGTCCCATTAAACCTTTTCAGAAATTTCCAAGTACATTTGCATATTAACATATCCAAAAGAAATTTGGGATCATTTTGTAATATTTAGAAGGTTGGAAATTAGGTTAGGTAAAACGTATATAAGACTATAGAATTAATATCCTTATAATATGTTCTTTTAGTTCAGTAAATATATAATGTTTACTTTTATGTCCTTTGGTCTATTTTAACTAAATAAAGGTAATTTTTATAGTCACGGTTATGACTATAAATGAGATCTTTTGTCCACTATATTTTTCAGCAGCTTGTTGCAAGTGTATAGGTATCCTACTACTCTCTTTAATGAAAATTAAACTGATTGGTTTTCTACCTTGACATTAAAGTTATTTAGATTTAAACACAAGAACACATGATGTAGAAAATGAAAGTCCTATAGAATTAAAAATCCCTCTGCCATAAGATAATTATGCATAGTCCTCACTTTTTCCCCAAGATATATTCTATCATTTTATAAGTGTGATACAACCCTTCTGCTACCTGCCTTTTCCCTTGGCAGTAGATCTTGGGCCTCTTCCTATGTCAGTAAGCATCAATCTACCTCACTGTTACCTCTGCATTAAGAAAGTAATGTGTGGTTGATTTATTTAACTTTTCAATTGGTTATTTTGACACTAACCAGTTATTACATTCGTTCCATTCTGATAGTTTTGTTGTTAGTTCCTTTGGCCTTTTTCAAATAGGTAATAGTTCTGGGTAGGGGTGATAATTTTATCTTTGTATTTTTAATAATCTTATTTTACTTTGTCTCATCTCACTGACCAGCACTTTTAGAACAATCCTACATAATGAATATATAGCTGATATTGTGCATTCTTTATATATTTTTCACTAGCAAGTGTTTCTCCAAAAGTATAACTTTGACTTTTAATGTAAGATATTCCTGATCTTTGAATTTGTATAGTATGCCCTTCTATTTCTAGTCTGCTAAAATTTTACCCGTAATAGATGTTGGGATTTTAATAAATGACCTTTTTTCTGATCTGTCGGATGATCAAATGGTTCTCTGTTATGACTTAAGATGAATCATTTTAATACATTTGCTAATGTTAAGCCCTCTCTCTACATTTCTATAAAAATCTCTCTTATGATCAGACTCTGTTATTCTTTTAATATATACCCTCTTTCAATGTTAACAGTGGTTATTTATGATTGGTTGAATGATCTATGGTAGATTTTTATTTTGTTTCTTACCTGTTTTCTGGTTTTTCTACAAAAATTAGGTATTGCTTATATAATAAAAATGAACTTTACAGTGAGAAAATATTCTTCTGGAATTGGGTTACTTTATTTTGGAAATTTCCTATAAGATTAATAGTTGTGATTTTTTTCTTTGTCAAGTATTTTTGTTAACTTCTTAAAAAAATAAATGGATTTGGGAAGCTCTGTTTTTTTCTATGCCCTGAAATACTTTAAATAATATTTAAAAATTTTTGCTCTTTAAAGTTTTTATAACACATAAAACTGTCTTAAGTGTAGTGCCTTGTTAGAAAATAATTCCTTGATAGTTTCTTTAAATGTTTTCTGTGTTCTTTGGTCAAACTTTCTTCCTATTCTATAATTTTGACAGTTTAAAGTTTCCTAAATAATGTTTCTATTAATATTTTCAAATGTGTTGACATTAAATTGTGTTATTTTTTCTTACTGATAATGTTGTACATCTATGCTTTCTCTTTTTGTCCTATTTAGTTTTTCCAGAAATTTTATTAGTTTTTACAAAGAATCAACTCTGGGGCTTATATCCTAATATTGATTTATCACTTCATGATTTTTTTAATTTGGTTTTGCTCTTTTCAATTTTTTTACTTTCTCAAGTTGAATGCCATTTTAACTTTTTCTTGCTTAGTAAGACAATTACTAGCATTATACAGCTAAATAGTCCATATCACTTAAATTTTTGAGCATGGTGTTATGATTTATAATTTCAGATTTGACTTTATTTTTTACAAAAGTTATTTGAAATTATACTTTCAGGTTTCAGAATAGCTTGTTTGTTGGTGTTTTTAACATCTGTCACAAACTTCTAGCTTTACTGCCTTGTCAAAGAGGGTATGGCCGGTACAATTTGTGCACTTTGGAATTTACCGATATTTTCTTAGGCCCTAGTAAACTTCTAATTTTAATAAACATCCCCAGGAAAATGGAGAATGTATATTCTCTGAAGGGAACAAAATTCAGTCTATATGTATTGCTTTGACCTCATTAAGTACAATGCTATTTCATTTTTACTTCCTTAGCAGCTAAGGAAAGGTAGGTATTTCTGTATTTCTGTCTGTTTCTCTGTGTATCTAAAGGTTTTTCTTTATGTGTTTCTGTTTGATGTTATTTGGCAAATGAACTTTTTATATTTAAGGGAAAATTTATTTTCCTTTAAAGACTTGTATACCCTTTATCTAATTTTGTTGTAATAGAGTTGTCTATATAGAAATACATAGTTCAGTAAAATGTTTGTGTCTATTTTTAAGATGAGAAAAATCTTTTAGGAACCCCTTGTATTTAAGAAGGTAGTTTGGAAGCTCTTGATCTCTCCAGGGAGGCTGACATCCTCTGTGGCCACTTCCTGAGCCAAAGCAAGAGGTCGTTCAGGTTGAGGTATAATAGCTTTGGGGACAGAAGGAATGTTGGGGGGATGCTTGCCCTTCGGCTGGTCACATTCTGCCACCATGGAGCCACACTGCGGCTTTTCTGAGCCCAAGAGGCGTTCCTTTCTCTGCAGAGGATCACTGCCTGAGAGAAGGCAGTGAGAATGTACGCCCCTGTGCCTTGCTGCTGAAGAAAAAAATAATCTGAGGTTCATTCTACAAAAAAACGTTTTTCCGGAGCTGTTTCAGCAGGATAGTCACAAGGCAGAGTCTATGCCCAGTACAAAACTACCTTTTCGGAAACACGTAGGAGGTGTGGACCCCAGCCCTCAGCTCAGGAAAGAAATACAGCCTTGCCTGTCTTTCCTTCATTTAAGTTAATTTCTGTTTTGAGCCTTGCTCCACCAAGCTCATTCAATTTTGTCTCAATTCTGGGATCCATTTTTCTCCAGAGGCGAGCCTTTGAAGATTGGGGCTTCCATGTTCCCAAGGTGTTGAAGGATGGGCCCCTATCTGCCACAGTGTTCTCTGTTCCTGCCAGGCCACCACCTCTGTACACCACACTTGTGCTAGGGGCATGGGGGTGACTCGCATGTTCCTGTGCTGCAGAAATCTCCCTGAAGCTGTCCCTGCCCTTATTGCCCAAGCCCTCTCTGTAGCCATTGACTTCCACATAAGCCAGATGTGTGTGCGCCCAAGTCCCCAGAGCACTGAGTAGAAATGATTCTGCTGTCACCACCGCTGCTGGCTGGATTTACTGATGCTTGCTTCAACTCTGGTTTTCCTTCCCAGTTCAGTCTTACTCTGGGGACTACTTCTTTTCTGTGCCTCTTCCTCCTGCTGTGTTCACATTGGGGTCTCTAGGGCTCTGTCCTGCATCGTCTTCCTTTGATCTTCTCTCCCCTGGAATCTTCAAGGTGATCTCCGTCCATTGCCAGCAGTTCTTTGTGCCCAAGGTACCCCCCTTCCTTCCTCCATGATGCCAGTCTGCCTCCCCTCCCTGACAGTGGCCACTGATCCAAGTGCTGGCCCCTTGCTTCTTGCAGTGTGGACACAAGACGCTGTGTCTTGTGCTTCTCCCTTTGCCCTGTCTCTACTACTGCCACTGTCACTACCTCTGCCCTGTTCCTGTCTGCTCCCCTTCCTGGTCCATGGGAAAGTTGGCTTCTAGCCTCATCTCTTACTGGCTCCCACCCCGCTTGTGGTCACCCCAGTCCCCTCCCCTGTCCTACTAAGGCCTGGCTGTGACATTGTCTCTGTGTTCTTGTTCTTGCTATTCCTACTGTCTGGAGTCCTTTCTCTGCCACTGCACCCCCACCACCATTACCACCGCCATCCCAGGCCTAGGCCAGAAGTCCTCTTCACAAAACTCAGCTACTCCCCACTCTTTTCATATTTAACAGCTTTTAAATCATTAGCTCAAAAATGTCCATTTCACACCTGTTTATTGAGCACCTTTACGCCCAAGACCCCTTCCTGGGAACACAAAGATGAAAAGACTTGGTTACTTTCCCAGATCTAGTATAGCCCCCTACTTAGGCCAGCTGGCCTATTGTGAGTGTTAATGGGACTCACTAGTGGGGTGCTTGGTGGCTCCCCTCAAGACTGCTCTCACCAGTGGCCAAGAACCACACCCATCTTTTCCAAGACTAGAGTTACCCCAGGCCACTGAAGGCCTCAACTTCCCTCTCGCCAGCCTTAGTTCCTCTCTGACTCTTGGGGATACAGTTTCTGTTTCTAGGATGTGCTGCAGCCTTGTTGCTGTTAGGATTGCCAGCCTGTCTCAGGAAAACCTTCTAGACTGGGGCCTTTGCCACTTGACTGCCTGCTAACAAGTGCCTTGTCCTAGGCAGGGAATACCCCACCCCACCCCACCCCCCTGCCAGAGTGGCTCATGTGCAAATCCTCATAACCTGGGACTGTGTTAACAGAAAGGGCCAAAGGGACCTTCATGTGGGAGGCTGTCCTGGATCGTGGGCAGGCCCTTTGTAATCACAGGAGATCCTAATGGCAGAGAACCTTTCCAGCAGAGGCAGAAAGAGATGTTGGGGGCAACAGTCAGCCATGGTACTGCTGCTCTGCAGACTGAACACAGAGGAAGGGCCACAAGCCACGAATGTGGGCAACTGCCAGGAGCCACAGAGGCAATGAAACAGCTTCTGCTGAAGCCTTCAGAGAACAGCACAGCCCTGCTGGTCCCTCGATTCTAGCCTCATGAGACCTATGTCAGACTTGTGCAGAACTCTTAAGAATAAATCGGTGTTGTTTTAAGCCACTACTTTTGCAGTCATTTATTACGGCACTAGAACCTGAGGTTTAAGAACCTCTGCCGTGTAAGTCATCTCCTACGTCATTTCCCAGGGTATGATCCTAGCTCTGCCACCCCTTGTTGGATTCCCAGCTCACATCCTAGAGGAGGAAAGAATGACAAAATGAATTGATAGACCTGATTGGCACAGCCTGCTGTTTTTCACACCAGCATGGTTCACAGGCTGCTTGCTGCCAGTTATGGATTGGCTCTGAGGACCTGATGCCAGCCCCCTAGTCAGTCCGCGGGGGGTGACACATGGCTCACTGGCTGCCCTTGTGGGGGGCTGTAGGTGAGAGGGGAGCATGCTGGTGTCCAGGATAAGGTGCAGTGGCCATGTAGGGCAGGGGCAGGGAAGACCTCGGGAACTGTGTGGGGCTCCAAGGGATGGGCCTGCCAGGGTATGGGGGGCATTTCGCAGTTCCAGGCATTTTGTGCTTCAGAGAACGAGGCTGCCAGGGGAAGGCAGCAAGCAGCTTGCTGGTGCTGAGAGGAATGGCCATAGGGAAGGCGACTGCCTCTGGGGAGCCCAGTGTGCCGTGCTTCAGGGCCGGCCCATAGCTCTGTGCAGGGCCAAGAGTGGTTGGCAGTACCTTGGAGGGTGGACTGAAGCTACACAATAGGAGACATACTTGTTCCCCTCCCTGGCTCTGATTTCCCTGAAGCCAGAGCCTGAATTTATTTCAGGGCTTGGCTGCAAGATGGAGGGAAAGAGAGAAATGAGGCAGAGAATGTTCCAGAGGAGGAGAAGTTCCGAGGCACTGAAGACACAATTGGACTGGGAACTTTGAGAGAACATTTTACAAAAGGATCCTTTTTTTGAAGCTCTCTCATCTTTGGCAGCTCCTCAAAGGCAACTTCTGAGAATTATCCAAAACTGATTAAGCTTCTTTGTATCTCATAATACTGAAAGCACAGTAAGTAATGAAAAACAGTACAAAACTGCAAAATAAGCATAAGAAAGTCTCACAAAGTTCTAATACTGCTTTTTTCTTTAAAAAAAAATGGCTGGTTCTGGACATGGCCTGCCCAAGGTGGGGAAGGAGGCCTGGGACAGAGCCACCTGACCTGCTTCTGGGGCCTGGTATTAAAGCCCGGCAGTCAGCTAGCAGTGGGTGTCCCTGGCAGCTGGGAGGATGCAGCAGGTGGCGGTAGGGCCGGACTTGGCCTAGACGCCAGAAGCCGGCCCAGCTGGCGGTGAAGTGCATGGGCATAGGAGCTGGAACTGAATTCTAAGGACGGGGCACTCGTGACAGACCATGGGCGTCAGACCCTCCTGGCTGCAGCCAAACCTGCAGGTTACTTAAGAAACTGGGAGTACAAAGAGCTGTGCTGTCGGGACTCTTCTCTGGAAACAAGGGTGGGGTTCAGTCTCCTGTCACAAGAGGGACTCTAACAGGGTCCCTGGGATGCTTGGGCAGTGTGAGTAGTGGATAGTCTGCTCTGTGCAGGTTCCTCCCTTCCCTAACCCTAACAGAAGCCAGGAGGAGGAGGAGTCCTCATGGGAACACCCCTGTCTCCCCACACTTAGTATTTGCTTAAACAGCTGTTCAGCTGAAACCTCACTGAACACTTTAAACCCACCCAGGCAGGGAAGGCTTTGCTTGTACAGCGGTTAAGGTACGGTCTTCATTTTCTCATGCATGACAGTGATGTACTATAAATAGTTAAAATATTTATTATGCGATTACACAGTGCTTGATACATAAATTTCATTTAAACATTTAAAATAATTCCTGAATGTAAGCAGTTTACTGTGATGATTACTAAATGTTCACATTCAGACCTTTAAACTGAGGAACCTCTACTGCACACACACAGGCGGGCAGTCAGCAGCTGTCAAGGGACTGTCCACAGAGCAGGGTAAACTTCACAACCAGGGAGCGAGTCCGTGACCCAGGTGCAAAGTGAGCACTGTGCCCCGTGGCCAGCGACACTTGCTGTGGATTTCACGCGTGCCCCGGGTTGACATGTGACAGTCTCAGCCCTGCTTCCCTCCCCAATTTTGGGAGCCACATCAAAGCTGCAATGTCATGTCCAAAGCCTGGCTGATCTTCAGGGTGCTATGTAGCCTGTCTACCTTTGCCACACGCGGAGAAGACCTTAACTGTCCCACGGGCTGGGGTTCTGCTCGTCACTGTCCTCCTCCGAGTCGGCAGACACTCGCTTGATTCTCTGCAGAGCCGCCTTAATGCTTCTCTCCAGGTCGTTGGCTGGCTTGGTGCTATGCCCTGGGTCTGGGTCCCGGAAGACTTTCTTCAGCTTGACCCCCTGCCTGATGGCCGCCAGGATGTCCTCACTGACAAAGGCATGGGGAGGGGGCGGAGTGGGCGCTTCTGTTTTCTGGAGGTGACGAGCTCTGTCATGCCGTAACGAGGCCAGCACTTTGTCCATAGATCCTGAAATTGTGTGAATAGAGCAAGTACCAGGCTGTCAGAACATTACCAAAGCCAGGATTTAAACAAATTATCATCATTGCCTCCAACAGATGCTCTGATGACCTGCTAGACAGAGCTCCCTGTTTGATCCAAGACAGTTCCATGGTAAATATCTTAACTGTTTACTTTCAGCTAACTTCTTTGATCTATACCACCTTACAGGCAGTCAAGCACAACTTTTTTTGAAATGATGGTTTTGCAAGATGGCCTAAAGAGAGTTATGGAGGTAGAAATAATCTAACCACTGGGCATCACTGAGATCTCTCTAAAATTGTGTCTTTCCCACTCCCTTTCCCATTTAAAAATATCTTTTAAAAAATGTTTTTTACCCTGCTGTGTTTCTCTATTTTTAGTCTTAGGTATTAGACAGTGATGACTCATTCCGTGACAATGAAGCGAGTAAGTTTCCACACACAAAAAGGCTTTAGTAAAATTCTAATCGGCAGCTCAATGAACAGGAGGGGGTGGCTTTCGCACATTTTTCTGTACATAGTGTATTTAATTCCACCTACATTACCTTGAAGTAGTTACACACTATTTCTGAGGATGTGAAATGCTGTTAAGACAAATTAGCCTAGAGTTCCAGGGCACTGGGGAGAAGAATGCTGAGACCCTGGCGGTGTGTGTGTGTGGGGGGGGTGTCTTTTATTGGCTGCTGGGCCAGGGGCATGATTGTGGCCACTAATTTAGACCTCTTCCGGGAAAGCCTTTGACATTTCCCATTGGGGAATGAAAGGTCACACTACGGCTAAAAAGGGCTCCTTCACTTTAGGTTTATACCTGTAACTGATTGTAATTTCCTTTGGGAGTAATAAGACAGGTTTTGCAGTCAAGGCCATTTTCACACTTACTTTTTTTCCAGCATGAGAGCAGTGTGAGTGGAATAGAGCTCCCTAAAAGTGTGCAAAACCTGAGCTGGGAACACACACCCCATAATAATCTGTCCACATCCGGCCTGGGCACAAGTACATGGGCTCTCTTTCTCACTTATCCAGAGCTGGTGCAAACCTCATAGAAAAAAGGCCATTTGGCCTCCACCTAGTAGAGCAGATGTTTTTCATCATTATCCATCTGTTCTGGATACAGTGACACTCTTGAATTCAGAATATCCAGAGTGCTCAATTAACCAGAACCCTAGTTTGGAGCTACTGCATGAAAACTACTCATATCACCTGTTGCTGTCACCCTGCACAGTCCAGGTGGCCCACTCGGCTACATCTCAGGAAACAAGTATATACAGCTCTTTTTTTTTTAACAGCATTTTACTAGGATTTTTCTACAATACCAAAGCAGGTCTGGGCATGTTTAGGCCTTTCTCAACAGTCAGTATAAAGCCATAATTAGAATTATGCCTGAAAACTATAGCCCTCATTAAACAAATATTCAGATGTTTCAGGATACTGTATTTGCTGTAACAAAAAGCTCTTTTTTCCTATGCGTCAGTTTGCAAGAATGGCCTTCTACGTGATGGCCGATATTCTTCCACAATAATTTACAAGTAATATTCTCCTTAAAATGCAACAATTTAATTCTGTAAAGGATTCAGATGTAAAACAGCAAACTTGAAAGCTGTATGGAAAATAGCCCAATGGCAAAAATCAAACTAAAGTCTTAAGACAACAGAAACAGATTGATCCTTTAACAGCCTCAGAAAATCCCAAGCCATAATGTTAAGTGAAATAAATCAGACACACAGCTTAAATATTACATGTTTTCTCTTCTATGAGAAACCCAAAGCATAAATAAAGAGCAAAATAAAAAATCAATAATAGGAAATAGGGAGATCTTTTTGCAAATGGGAAAGAGATCAAGAGATGGAAGGAGAGGAAGAGGAGATGAAAAAAGAATTAAGATATGTGATGTACATGAACCAACTCCAGATGAGGAATATAATCATTACATACTGCAAACATGTGCCAATAAAAATAAAACATTAACTAGAAAAAAGAAAAATCCTAAGCTATGTGATCAGCAAATGCATAGACAAGTTTTTTCAGACTTAATTTGCATTCATCAAACTAGATTTTGGCTGTTCTATGTAAGAAAAAGTAATATTCAAGGCAACAAATATACTGGAATATTTTAAGAAAGACTAGAGAATTCTGAAAAAGATTTCAGTTTGAAGATGATGGCTTCTAAAGCTAGGAAGTATCATCAGCTTCACCTGTGGGGAGGGAGCAGGGACAGAACCCCAGTGGATTACCTGGTCCCTGAAGAATTTCCAAGGAGCCCTGTGGGATTTCGGCAGGGGGTTCACACATCAGAGGGTGTGGCTGGTCATCCTCCACTGAAGTCCTGGGGCCTGGCTTCCGATGAGTGGCAGTTTGGGAACAGGAGGGCCGAGCAGAGAGAGGTGGCAGCGGGGGTGGCGGTGGAGGAAGAGGGGGAGGTGGAGGGGGAAGCTGTGGTGGTGGAGGTGACAGTGCCTCGCTGGATCTGGAGTGTGTCTGGTGACCAGCGGGGACAAATATGTGGACAGGGATGTTTCTAGGACAGTCCCGACACTCCATATGGCTAACTTCACAGAAGGGAGGAGCACGTCTGGTTTTCCGGGAGGGTGGGAGAGTTGCTGTCCCTGGCTGAGAAGCTGGTGAGGGTAGCTGCTGGGAAAGGTCACCTGGCGAATTTGGGGCCGCAGGCTCTGAGGCAGAGTTTTGTAGCACAGATTGAGCTGGACATTTCTGAAAATGAAAAGTGGTTGAAAGAACTCTGTCACCACATACTGACCATCACACAGCATTCTAATTCACACAGTGAACCTGTCATTTATGCAGCCATCCTGGATGCCTTAAAAAATAAGTATGTGTTAAAAAAAATAAGCACATCTTTTGATCAAGTGTTGTCTTCTCTGTATTAAAATGAAGATGTGAAAAGATAGAGACCATTAAAATACTCAACATAAAATTCTTAGCATGAAAAATCACTAGCTCTGCCATTGCACCAGCACCAGGAGGGCAGTCTGGGCCCTGATCCACCATGGGAAGGAGAGCCACGCCTTGCCCCACCGGGAGCCACCATCGCTCCAGCACCAGGAAGGTAGCTGCACAGGTGCCCCTGAACCCCCAAAACTCCCCCCCACCGTACATTCTCAGACCTCCTGATTGAGCCAGTCTTTGGACCCACTCTGCAGAGGCAGAGGTGATCATAGAGGGTATTTTTCTGAGTACCCAACGTTGAATATCTTTTAAAAATGGGCATGGGAAACCTGTAGTAGAATGGTGTGGAGTTCAACCATTCAGAAGGTTGGGGAACTCAATCTGGGCCTTGCAGCCCGAGGTCAGTCTGCATCATGGGGTTCAGCCATCAGCTAACTGAGACCAGGGTTCTTGAGTCCTAGCTCTGTCTGAGCCCCCATCCTAAAAGGTAAATATACTGTATTGAAAAGTTTGTTCACTGCAGCCATGTTTTGGACTGCTTCTTGATTTCAATTTAATTCAAATGGTTTAAGGGTGATAGACTAGTGACTACCACAGGTGGTCAGTTTCTAAGTTGTACTTGATCATATTGTATTGCTGGTTGAGATAATGGATTGTGGTTGATTCGATAAGCTGTTTTCTCTGATGTTATGGAGATGAGAATGTCTGTGGGTTGTTAGAGACCCAGAAGCTAGGGTGCAACTATATCAGGAAGATTTGGTGATAACCCAGAGATTATACCAAAGACAGCTGGACAACAAAAATAAAAATGAGAAAACACTTAAGCAAGACACAAAGACAGACTTCCAGTTCACCAATGGCAAACAGTAGCACAAATGAGGATGAAAACGCCGATAGTGAACCACCAGGACACCCTGAACTCAAAGCACAGGAAGTAACAAAACAGATCAATCAGGCTCTGGAAAAATTAAAAACAGAAATAATTTCCCAGATAACCATAGAGATAGTGAGCAAAATGAAAGTCGTAATTTGAGACTCTACAACAGAAACTGACAAAAAAATAGATGAGCTCAGCACCATGATAGAAGCCATGAAGGCCCAGCATAAGAAAGAAATGGAAACAATAAACGCCCAACATAGGAAAGAAATGGAATCCATAAAACAGATTCAAACAGATATCCAGAAGATTAAACACTCCATTGAAAGTGTATGCAACAGAATAAAAGAATGAGAAGATAGAATCTCAGATATAGAAGATAAAGATTGCAGTCAGTGACCGTGAAAAGAGAGGTCTCTTACAAAAGAGGATCATGAGAAATCGATCCAGCAACTCCTAGATGATGCAAAGAATAACATAAGACTGATAGGAATCCATGAAGTAGCAGGAGAAAATACAAATGACTTGAAAAAGCTGTTCACAGAATTAATGACAGAAAACTTCCCAAACAGAGGGGAAGAATTTGACATTCAGATAAATGAGGCATATAGGACCCCAACTAGCCACAAAAAAAAAAATCTACACCTAGACATATGATAATCAAGATCCCAGAAACCCAACAGAAGAATAAAATACTACAAGCAGTAAGAGAAAAGAAACAAATCACATGCAAAGGAAAGCCCATCAGAATCACAGCAGACTTCTCAACACAAACCCTCAGGGCAAGGAGAGCCTGGAGTGAGATATTTCAAGTACTAAAAGAGAACACCCTCCAACCTACACTGATGTATCCTGCAAAACACTCTTTCAAAATGGATGGGGAAATAAGATACTTCCAAGACAAAGAACACCTGAGAAACTAAACGAATGCCAAACCAGCACTACAAGCAATTCCAAACAATATCCTAGAAAAAGACAATGAAGGTAATACCACCATGAGGCCCAACAGAGCAAATCAAATAGGCAAGGCAAGAAACTAAAAGGAGGTGAAAAAGTAATAAGAGTCAACAAAAGGCCATAAAAGGACAATAATAAGTCAGTACATATCAGTTATAACCATCAATGTCAATGGCCTCAACTCACCAATCAAGAGAAACAGACTGGCAGAATGGAATAAGAAGCAAAATCCAACAATATGTTGTATACAAGAAACACACCAATTGCAAAAAGAAGCCCATAGACTGAAAGTGAAAGGATGGAAAACAATTCTCCATGTGACAGGAGCCCAGAAAATAGGCAGGGGTAGCAATCTTATTTGCAGACAAAGTAAATTGCAAACCAAAACTGATTCTAGTATTATAGATGTAGGACAGTACTGTATCATACCTCTGTGAATGTAAAATATCTTGTACCTGCTTTATGATACGTAGTAGTGACCATGCTTTATCAGAGCTATATTTAATGATGTTACTCTAGAATGTTCTCTCTCCAGATGATGATTAAGATGCTAATAAAAAAAATGGTGCCAGGTACCACAACAACAACAGAACTTTGCTGTTTTCTGGGTATTATTCTTCTCTTTGTTTTTTTGTTTTTGTTTTTTTAATGGAGTGTGCTGAATGTCTATAATTTTGTTCAGATGACTGCAGAACATGGAAAAGCTGTTGCTGCTATTGATGCATAACATACTGCTATTATTGGTCTTTTTATATAAATATAAATATATATATATACATATATATATAATTTGAACTTTTATAAAATGTAACTGTGCTGTCGACTTTGGAAAAAGTTATCCCAATTTACTGTGTTGAGTTGGCATTGTATAGAAATTAACAGCCATGTTAATTTTTTTTCCATTTCTACAGGGGTAATGCACTGTATTAAATATGTAATGTCATATCTACATGGGTTTGATTACAGAAACTAATACAGTATTCTCTAAATAATGAAAAAAAATAATATAAGACTACAAGAGCAAGAAGCAACTTAAATATGTTCAAGGACCATTTTCACCTTCAGAATTAAGGATTATTTTAATTTTACATCATTGCCTTTTCTCTTTTACTTTCCTTTTTAGTTTTATTTTAGGATTCCCTATTTTTAATGTTCATACAGAGATTTCTTTAACTGAAATACCGAATAGTTTCTCTGGTGTGAAAAACTATAATAGTACACAGGATCCTAATGAGATAATTAGTAATGTGAAATAGGAAGTAAAGGGCTAAAGATGTAGGGAAAGTGGGAAGGGTGGGGGAAAGGTAATAAGGGAGAGGAAAAAAATATGGGAAAATGAAAAAAGAGAAATAAAGTGTTGGTAAATGAGGAAGGAAGGAGGGGGTGAAGGGAGGGCAGGGACAAGGGGAAAAAATGAGAATCAAGACCTATCATGTAAAGGTACAGGATCCCAATAATGAATGTGATTGTTTTGTATATCTAGATTGTACCAATAAACTCAATAAAAATTAAAAAAAAAGAAAAATCACTAGCTCTAAATGCCAACAATAGAAGTTAGTTTAAAAATTATGAGAAATTTATTCAAGATATTAAACAGTCATGAAAAAAATCATAAAAGTGAAAAGTTGATAAAACATCTAAAAAAAAAATCAACTGACAGTATTAAGTGAAAACAGAAGGATACATTTGGGTGCACAGGCCTGAAATCCCCACACTGTGGAGCTGAGGCAGGAGGACGGAGAGTTTCAGGCCAGCTTGGGCTACAGAGCAATACTCTGTCTCCAAAAAAGGATACAAAAAATAGGTATTATGATTATAAACAGGTAAAGACAGATAACACCAGTAGAGTGGACTTCAAAGGCACTTTGTGCATTTCTTTTCTCTAAAACTTAGAATAGTTCCACTGCCTGCCTCACAAGCACAAAGTTCTGAGTTTGATCCCTGGTACCAAAAATAAATAAATAAATAAAAATTAAAAAAATAAAACAGAATAAATTTAATAATTTAAAAATCATAAATTTGAAAAGTTCTGGCCCTCAGGTATTAAACTTGATAAATAAAAGCCGGGCATGTTGACACATGCCTGTAATCCCAGCACTCGGGAGGCTGAGAAAGGAGGATCACTGTGAGTTCGAAACCAGCCTGGGCTACATAGTGAGTTCCAGGTCAGTCTCAACTACATAGTGAGACCCTGTCTCAAAAGACCCCCCCCCACAAAAAATTTTTTTATAAAGAAAAATCTATCCCCACCAGCAGACGCTTGAGAGAAGAGGGGTCCCTAAAGAAAGTACAGATTAGCCAATAAAGTTCAAAATTTTGTAATACTGTGTGCCATTAAAATGAACTAGAGCTATACACATTAACATAACTACATCTCAAAAACAACTCAAATTAGAGAAAGCAGGATTGTGTACACAGTGACACTACTAATGGGAATTTTAAACAGACATCCTGCAGTTCACAGTTCACAGTGGGGGGGCATCTGTCCTTCCTACAGGCTTCTTAGGACAAATGGGAAGAGAGGTGACAAGCCGCAAACCCCTCAGGGCTGTCACCACCCAGGGGACTTACTAACCTGAACTCCTTAGTCCAGGTTCTTTCCCTGAATTTAAGCCACACAGACTCCTTCCTATACCACCCTGAAAGTGTACATCTCCATATGGGTTATTCTGAACCAAGAAAACAGCAACTTATGGCAATTTTGGGTCAACTTGTTAGATTTTTAACTCACTGTTTCCTTTAAACAGAGCACTTTTTCTGCCCTTAGACCACAATGCTTCCTTGATGACATTTTAAAGAAATCTTTATTGCAAATGAGGAGAAAAAGCCAACAGAAGTCAAGGGCAGTTAAACTACTTTCAGTTCTTACTGCAGATCTAAGCCCCAGTGAGCATAGTTAGTAGCACTCAGTGAGGAGAGGGACCCAAGAGGGGAGCAGGGACCCAAGCGTGGTGTGATGTCCAAAACAGCAGGTATTTTACAGCCTGGTTTTTGAAACACTGATACTGGGATGTTATGTTCTTTGTTGCTATTCCACAAATAAGAGTAGTTTTGAAACAGTTCATATTCGGAATTATCTGTTCATAATGCTTCACACTTTTCTTCTAGGATGTGCGATCCTCATTTTCCCACAGAAAGAAGGTGAGGTGATTATTTCAAGATCTTACCGCTTTATATGCTCTTAATCGGTGGAGGGTTTTCTGGCGCTCTTGGTTGATCCATTCTTTTTTCTTCTGTTCTTCTTCTTTTATTTTGTCTCTTTTCTATATTTAAACAAGCATATATTGTAAAGTACTCAGAATTCCAATCATAGGACTGGACATAAACCTTGACAAAGGCACTGTACCCCATGTGTCCCACCAGAATGTCACATTATGCGAATGTACATTTCCTCCAGCTACTCACCAGCTGAATGCTGTGATGCTCATGCAGATATCGGACATTTTTTTCAGCCTGTTGCAATCGGAGGTGATGATTTTCTTTGCACTGATCCTGGGGGAATAACATAAATCACTTACATGGTTTTTAATATCACCATGGACTGTCGCAGAAAAAGTTAATAGAAAAAAACTTTGTATTTCTGCTGCAACGTAATTAATTTCATTAAATTTCAGTTTCCACTGAGACTTTTTGGTGCTGACCCCTCCACAGTCATGGGATAAGGGCTCACCAGCTGCTCATAGGAATAGTTTGTTCCCGGCAGGGTGCTTTGGAGGATGAGAAAGCAACCCTCTGGCCACAGAAGGACAGACAGGCAGTCCTCAGCCCTAAGTGGGCTGTGTCATAACAATCTGTTGTAAACCAGTTCTTCCCAATATATTCCACATAATGTCATAAACACCAGTTAATATTTCCAAACATAGCTACAAAAGCACAGCTGACCTATAAACATCTGGAAAAGTATATTAAAAGCTGTACATTACCTATGCTTAACTATTCACCATAGCCTTCAGTGTGTGTGGAAAATAACAGAGCAACAATACTATCAGTTGTTGAATTATGTTTTAGGTCCCAGCCTCAATGCCATGCACTTCCCTGGTCTTAGGCCATTTTATTCTCATATTGAATATGAGATTGGTATTATCACTATGATTATCCTTTTAGCAGATGAGAACACTGAGCTCAAAAGAGATTTACGTAATTTGCCTAAGGTCACATGGCTACCAAGAGGCCACACAGTGACTTCCAGCCAAGGTGGACCAGGGACTGACCTCAACTCCCAACCTGTTCCAGCCTTTATAGAACCCAGTGGCAAGAACTTCCTGAAGGATACTGTCTCGAGGGTGGAGGTTGGTGTTCATTGTCTGGCTAAGAGGAGCCACAGCCCTGAAGGAGGATCACCCCACAGCCACACTTTGATGGAGACAGCCCCAGCCCAGGGGGGTCTGAAACTCCAAGGAAAGGGCAGGTGCCACCCTAAATCTCAGATCACCTCAACCACAACTTCGACATCCATAGTGGTTGCTCTGGTCTGCACTCCCACCAAAAATACAGAAGTGTCCCTTTCTCCTCATGACCCCAACGACGTAGATCATAGGTTGATTTCTTCATAGCAGCCATTCTTTCTAGGGTGAGGTGAAATGTCAGTGTTGTGTTCATCTGCACCTCCTAAATAACCAGTGATGTGGAACATGTTTTCATATATTTATTTGCTGCTTTTACTTCTTTGTCTAAGAAATGTCTGCTCATTTCAGGTGCCCATTTTGGAATCAGGTCTTTATATTTGAGGCCCTGATATTTTTAAGTTCTTTATATATTCTACATAATAGTCCTTTGTCTGAGGAGCAACTGGTCGAATTTTTTCCCACATTGTAAGTTGTCTATTAGCTATGTTTCTTTTGCAGTGCAGGAGCTTTTTAATAAGATCCAGTTGTTGATTCTTTGTGCTAGTCCATGCTACTGAGGATTTGTTCATAAAATCTTTTCCTATGCCATCATCTTAGAGAGTTCCACCTAAATCATCTTCCAGCAAGTTTCATGTTTCTTTTTTAATATTTAGATCTGGACATACCTCAAATGACTAGGATTAGAGGTTCCATTTGACCCAGCCCTCCCTCTCCTAGGTATCTTTCCAAAAGAATTCAAAGAATCATACCACAGTGATATATGCACAGTTATACCATGTTTATATTGGCACAGTTAGTAATAGCTCAAACTGGGAAACAGCCCTATTGCTGATCAGTTAGCAACTGGATAAAGAAATTGTGCTTCTTCCATAAAATGAAATATTACTCAGGCATACAGAAAGAGAAACTAGAGTCATTCATAGGAAAAAGGATGCATATTGAGGCCATAGTCTTAAGTGAAATGAATAAGACACACATGTACAAATAATGAATAGATTCTCTCCTGTGAGAAACTAAAAGTGTAAAAAAGATCTATATGGTATAATTGACAATGTAAAATAGGAGGATAATGGCTAAATTTGTAGGGGAAGTAGGAAGGTCAGGAGAAACAAGGAATAAGAAAAAAATGTGAGAAAGTGAAAAAATGGAAACAGTTTTTGTAAATAGGCAAGGGTGGAGGGCTGGAGGGAGGGCAGGCATATAGGGAAAAAATGAGAATAAAGATCTGTCATGTAGAGGTACAAGATCCCCATGATGAATGTAACTGTACTGTATACCTAAAAAGTAACAATAAACTCAATAAGATTAAAAAAAAAAACCAAACCAACTTTGACATCCAGAAGCTACAGTCTCAAGCACAGAACTTCAATAGATGTATTCTAGCAAAGTTTTTTTTTAAGGTTTTTATATTTTTGCATGGAAGATTAAAATAAATTTTTTTTTTTGGTACCGGGGATTGAACTCAAGCCCTTGTGTTTGGGAGGCAAGCAGCAGAACCACTGAGCCAAATCCCCAGCCCAGATTCAAAATATTTTTGAAAGCTAGAAAATAAGTCATGATTTTCATGATTTTTAAATTCTAGTAACAAAAAACCTAATAAATATGAGTAACCACATGAAATGCAGCTTTTTTCTGTTGGAAAAATTAAAGTTTTACCATTGCCTTTTAATATAACCTAGTTTTTAAAAATTAAGAAATGGCCTCTCTCGTTTTATTTTTTTAGTTTTATTTTTTTTGAGACAGGGCCTTGTTATGCAGTTCAGGCTGGCCTCGAACTCCTAGTGACCCTGCTGCCAACGTAACTTTCTGGGATTACAGATGTGCACGACCACGCCTGCCTAGCCCCTCTCTCAAGGGCCCACATGCTTTCTTTGAGTGCACACTTTTTATATTGCTGCCTAATAAAGTCCTTTACGCCTCTTACCAAAAAGAAAAAAAAAATCAAAGATCTGAAATGAGCTGAGTATTGTATGTATCTGTGTTTGGTTTTATAATCCATAATTTATAATAAAATATATTTTAGAATTTCCTACAGCTGAAAATTAGGAAGAGTTTCTACCTCCTGTAAATTTAAAAGCACCTGTGTAATCAGTGGACATTCAACAAATAATTGTTGAATTAATTAATTAAAATCTAGACATTATGGAAAATGAATAAATCCCAAAAGAAACAAAGAACTTTTTAAGAAAAACATTTAAAATATATTTAACTGTAGTTACTGATATCTACACAAACAGAAAAAATTAATCATTGTATGGTCAAAAACCTTATTTCTAACCTCGTTATATCATAAAAGAAGTAATCTCAGCTAGGAGAGATGGTACACACCTACTAATCCAGCACTCTGAAAGGCTGAGGCAGGTGGGTTGCAAATTTGAGCCCAACTTGGGCAGTTTAGCAACTTGGACAGACACAGTTTCAAAATTATGAAGAAGAGCTGGGGATATAACCTAGTGCAAAGACTGAGTTCAATCCCAGTACCATTTAAAAAAAGAAAATAAAAGGAAGATGAAGAAATCCTTAGAAAAAGGACAGAAAGCAGCCTCTAGCTGAGCCTACCTTTCTGTTCCTGAGACGGGCTCTCCTGGTGCAGATTCTGCCCCGCTGCATCTCCAGCTGTCGGCATTGCAGGGTGAGCTCTTCCATCTCTGCATTCTCACCGTCCCACAGCTCCGCAGCCCAACTAAGGACCTGAAGTTCTTCTGGGCTTTCACATGTGTCATAATAGACAACTTTATCCTGTTTCTCTAAAAACATAACAAAGACACTCTTAAACAGCGTTTACTATTAAAATAATGCAAAAATATTTCAGTGTAAGGAAAGTAAAAATCACTTGTACTGTAATTCCGCCACCAGGGGCAAACCACTCTATGGCTACACATAACACTTATAGGAGAACATTTTTCATGTGATGGAAATGTAATTCTCATGGCAAAATAGTATTTTCTAGCATTCTGTTATCAGAATGTTCCAGGGCTCCATTAGTAACTGTTTCACTGGGATGAATATCTCTGCATAAATCTTGGTGTACTTTTTTATTGCTCCCTGAGCAAATGAGTATCCCAGGCTCTTGATGCCTCTTGTCACAGTGCCCACCACAGAGGAAACAACTATTAACTGCACATGGAAGTGACTTACTGACTTTAATCTTAGTTACATTTTGATTTTTTAATACATGCTTATTATAATAAATCCCAATCCTACAGAAGTGCATAAAGTAAAAAGTGAAATTTTCTTTTTCCTTCCCCAAATCTACTCAGACCCATTCTCAGGAAAAAAAAAAAAAAAAAAAAAAAGAACAATTTAGGCATTTATCATCCAGAATTTTTCATAATATTTCTTCCTTAAAGCTTATAACTTGAAACTACTGTCAAAATGTTTGACTATGTAGGATTAAACTATATGTTCAAGATTTACATTAAAAAAAGACTAAACTTGAAGGAATTTAGGGTAAAAAAGTATTTAAACAGGAAACATGATCTTGGGTAGGAAGATTCAAAATTGCAATGATGACAATTTTCCCCAAAATAATCTCTAATTTTAAGCATATTTTTTTGGTGGATTTTTTTTTTTTTTTTTTTTTTTGTACTGGGGATTGAACTCCGATCCTTGCGCTTGCAAGGCAGGCTACCGAACCGCTGAGCTACATCCTCAGCCCTCAGTGAGATTTTTGTTTCTTTTAAACTTAACAAAGTGACTCTAAAGTTCATCTGGAAGAATAAAGAATAGTCAGGGCTGGGGATGTAGCTCAGTGTTTCTGCCGCCTGCCTCACAAGCACAAGGTCCCGAGTTTGATCCCTGGTACAAAAACAAAACAAACAAAAAGAATAGTCAGACAATGGAGAAGTTACGAGGAACCAGGTATTAAAATGTGTTTCCAAGGAACAGGAAAAGGAACAGTAGGACCCCCCACAGTGGAAGGCATTCATAGGTTAGTGGAGAATGACAACTCAGAGGACTAGTAATTCTGGAGATGAGATGCAGCCAATGAAAGGAGTAGGGGAAGATGTTTTTAAATCAGTGATTGGACCACGCCTGCCTCACAAGTGCAAGGTCCAGTTCAATCCCTGGTACCACAAAAATAAATAAATAAGTCAGTGACTGGGACAGCTGAAACTTTGGGGAAGAAAAGTTAGATTCCCACCACAGTATGACAGATATTCAATAAGCAAAGTAAATATTCTAAAGAAAAATAGGCAAAGACAACTATGCACTCCATAAAATACAAATGGCCAGTAAACATTCAAAATTGTGGGCTATGTAACTTGTAGTTAAATAAATGAAAGTTAGAAGAGGCCATCTTTTTCTACCAAAAATTTCAAAGAACAAGATGAATATGAGAAACAAGGCCCTTGTGTTCTGCTGATGGGAATAGAATTTGTATAGCCTCTCTACAGGGCTGCCACATAGAGTGGAATTTAGAAATTAGAAAGTAATACAGGGGTGAGGAATGATGTATCTTAAATGATTCTTGTAGTGTTGTTTTAACAGATAGTTATTAAAACATAAAATGCACATTACCCTTGACCCAGGAATTCCATCTTTAGAAATCTGTTTCAAGGAAACAGTCTGTCCTGCACACAAAGATATGTGCTTTACAGCTGTTCAAAACAGCGAAAAACTGGAAATATATATGGAAGGAGATAGAGTGCACACCAAAAAATGTATACAAACTTTTAGCAGTTCACAGTACTAATAAATGTCTGGAAGCTAATGGCCATCACCATGATCATATCTTATAATTATAGAGGCCGGAGGTAACTTGTATTAATTTTATGATAGCTCAATAAATTTAGTATTAAAATATTTATACAAGTTTTTCTTTTCTGATGTATACATTTTTTGGCAGACTATATGTGTATAAATATATGTGTATATGTATAAAATCTATAAAATGGAATTCTATGCAGTCATTAAAATTTTGATGTTTTATTTCTTTCTTAGATGGAAAGATGGTTATCATATACTAAGTGAAAAAATGTTACTAACCAGAATATACAGTTTTGTTTTTAAAAACTGATCAATGCTTATTTACATGTGGCATATAAAAAAAGGCTACGAAGTTATACAGCAAATTCTTACTACCAAGTATCCCTAGATGATGGGCTTGAGTTTATATATACATATATACACACACACACACACACACACACACACACACACACACACACACACACACATATATTGTTAAACAGGGTGTATATACTTTTTTTTTTTTCAGTCAAACTCAGGACCTTGCAAATTGCAAGGCAGGCACTAAATCCCTGGCCCTATTGGCCCTATTTTTTTTCCTGGCCCTATTAAATAATATATTTACTCAAAAATACAGAAAGGAAACCAAGAAATTTTAGCAGATGTCATAGTTTACAAGAAGTCAATGATAAAGATAATGTGGCATTTCCTCAAACGTGTAATTTAAATATTTTACTCTTACACATAAATTTTACCTTTCATAAGCCTTTTAACAGAGTCCAACTGGGTAATAAGAAGTATTTCTTCATTTTTTAATATATCAAACTTAATATCATATAGTTCCAATTGAATTTCATAATACTGTATTTCTAATTCATCCACAACATGCATGGTTTTTTTTTCTTGTTCCGGAAGCTCTTCCATCTTGTTTTTATGGAAAAAGAAGGACAAGTTAAAACAGTATATTAAAAACTTTTAATATTCCTCGCTTTTCTATTCCTTGCTCAATACTAAACACATAAAGCAAATAGAGAAGAAACTTTTCCATTTCATCTGGCTAGACAAAAATGCCTTTCTGACGTTCATCACGGGACTTTATCTCATCTCTGGAACATGAAAATACTGAGGTTCTGAGAAAAGCAAGGGTATGAGGCACTGGCACAGATTGGATATGAGTCAGGCAAAATTCACATTAAAGCTCAGCCTCCAGCGCAACAATCTTGGAGCCCAAGCCTTTGGAGGGAACTGTGTTTAGACAGGGCCAGGAGGTGGTTCCTGCATGGAGGGGCTGGTGCTCTTGCCTTCTTTCTGCGGACACACAGAGGAAAGACCTGACCACAAGGCAAGAAGGTGGTTGTGTGCAAGCCAGAAGAGGCCCTCCTTAGACACGACTCTGAAGGCAGTTGGCCGTGGACTCCCATCCTCCAGAACAGTGAGAAGTGTCTGCTGTTTGACCCCAGTCTATGGTAATGACTTAGAGTACCCAGGCTGATGGGAGATGGCTGTTTATAATGTTCTGCTTTAAAGTCCTAAGATTACTGGAAGAAAATTCAGTGACTGTGATCCTAGGATGAAGCACTACTTTGTTCTTTAGATGGACTGGGACTGGGGTGTAGCTTGGCAGTGCAGTGCTTGCTTAGCTGGTCCAGTCCCCAGCACTACCACCAAAAAAGGGTACACTTAAAACAATGCTGGATTGATTTTCAAGTATATTATCCCCTCCCTACTAAGCTGAGGAAGTGAAGCCTACAATACAATAGTTCAAAAAACTACTACTTGACTAAGAGAGAACTTCATGGCCAACCTTCCACAGTCCCTAAGTCTCTACTAGAAGGTGGCATTGCAAGGAGTAAAGAAGTTCATTAGTGTTGTCTGGCAAGAAAGGTGTGACTGAAAACAAACATGTATTTTTAAAATAAAGTTACATTTTATCTTTGTCATACCTTTCTCTGAATTTCAGCTCTTCTGTGGTTTAAACATAATTCTCTGGCTCTCATGAGTTGCAGCGTCTCTCGAGCGACCATGAGCTTGAGTTTCTCTAACCTGGGCGCAGCAGTGGCCCAGGCAGCCTGGCCAAATCTCTTACTATCTTCTTCCATTTGTTTCTGCATTTCTGTTGGATTGTAATAAAATAAAAATACAGCTTACTAAAAAGGATAGAATTTATCTTTAGTCCTTTCTTTATGACCTTTATTACCCACAAAACATCACTTTTTAAAAGAAATGGTTATATTTTAATATTTTTATTATCATAAAAGTAATATATGATCATTGATATAAAATTCAAGGATTCCATTCCAAAAAGACAGTAATAACTCAAGGTCTACCTTGTTGAGGAAGGTGCTTCTTACATATACGGCCTGACTGTTTCTGTGTCTTGCTAGATAGATGGGCTTATGAAGTTTGACAAAAGCAAAACAAAACTAGGATCATCATTCTGCTTTTCCTTATTTCACTTAATGTATCAGGAATTCTTATTTAAAGAGATACAAGCTGGGTGTGGTGGTGCACACCTGTAAATCCAGCGCTTGGGAGCCTGAGGCAGAAGGATCACTGTGAGTTTGAGGCCAGCCTTGGATACATAGTGAGTTAAAGGCCAGCTTGAACTGCATAGTGAGACCCTGTCACAAAAAACCAAACCAAAAAAGAAAGAGAGATACAAAGGATCATGCTTACTAGCTATGTAGTTCTGTTTTGTGAATGTATCATATCTTAACAGATTGACAAGCACGAAGAAGTTTCCTCTTTGGGGCTGGTACGGACAGTGCTTTCACACAGTCCTCCACCCCAGCTCCGGGGCCCTTGAGGTCTGGCCCCTGCCTGTTCTCCTTTATGCCCCATTCTTCCTCCTGGGATCTTCCAGGCACCCTCAAGCCAGAGGAACTTTTCAGTGCTCTTCCTTTCCTTGGAAGGCCGTCCCCTCTCAGTTTTACCCTCGCAGCCTTCATGTTCCCTTCAGATACTCAGGCAAGTGCTCCTTCTCAGTTTCGGTGACCACCCTGGTCAAACCCGGCTTATCGTGGGCTCTAAAAGCCCCGAGTCCCTCTTCTTCACCTCACTTACTGCCCCTCGTTCCCTTCCTGAATGACCAGGAAACGAGGACTCCCCAGACTGTGTGGTGTTGGTGGATGCAATCCTCATACTGAGCTCTCAGGTCCTACAAGACACAGCACGTGATGCTTTGAGGCACTCTGATGCTTTTAGAATTAGAACTGAGTGGTTCAATTCCTGGTGCCAAAAAAGAATTAGAATTGTGTCTATCTTTATATAGCATTATCACCTGTTAATGCCTTCACTGTCTCCTTAAAATAATCCACAGTGATGTCTTGAATAGAGGCAACAGCATCTTCAGCCTGGCTGGTCCATTTTTGGGCTTCCTTCTGCAGGGCAGCCACCCTCTGAGGACCCAGCTCATCCTCATCCAGGGACTTCTGCAGAGAGAAGGGACAGTAGTACTGTAGGGTTGTTTAAACTACTTTTATATACTACTACATATTCTGTGATCCCTGAGTATGAATGGACTCTGAGCTGGGACCTCCTGCAAGACCAACAGGTTCTCTGGGACATAAAGGAAAAATCACTTGCTTTCACCTTGTATTACTAGAATAACTTTCCCTAGAGATGAAAGATGCTGTTTTATTCCTATTATTAATAACACAGCTGTCTGAAAGAGATCAGCATTGCTGAGGACTCAGCCTAGGGTAGGTCCACGGCATTCTAGCTATGGCTGTGGTTTCTTTTTTCTTCTTCTTCTTTTTTTTTTTTGGTACCAGGGATCAAACTTGGGTCCTTGTGCTTGCGAGGCAGGCAGGCAGCGGAACCACTAAGCAAAACGCCCAGCCCATGGCTATGGTTTCTTTTAGGGACACTACCAGTAGCTCCTCAATACCATGTTTCTTCTTCTCAGGAGAAAACAAAACAAAACAATATAATCTCCTAAAAGACAGTAAGATCTGTATATTCGAGATTCAAGACTATGACATACACTCCTATGGACTGTATGTCTGTGTCCCCCCAAAAGTCATACATTGAAGCCTGAATCCTCAAAGTGACAGTACTAGGAGGTGAGACATTTGGGGGTAATTAAGCCCAGAGGGTGGAGTTCTTGTGCATGGGATTAATGCCCTTTTATACAGAAGATGAGGCAGAAGAGCTCTCTCTCTGCTCTTCACAGCCAGATGGCCTTCTACCAACAAGGAAACACAACCTTGTCAGACAGTGCATCTGCTAGGCACTTGGTCTCACACTTTCCAGCCCCAAGAACTGTGAAAAGTTTCTGTTGTTTATCAGTATCCCAGTTTATGGTACGTTGTTCTAACAGCCTAGTACCGAAACTGTTACTTGTAACACACACACATGACTTCTCTGAACAACTGACTTTCAAAATAATGAAGAAAACAATTTGGTCCACAGGCTAGAGTGGCCTGATTTCCTCTAAATGTGAGTCCATCTTTACAGTACAGTAACTGGCAGGGCCATGACAGAATGTGTGGAAGACAACCCAGTGAGCTGGAAACCATCTTTGATTCTAGCCAGTGAGACTCAAGGCAAGGTACATGACTCCCTGGACTCGGGTCCATCTTCAGCTCTGGGATGATAACAGTGCCTTTTCAAAATAGGGTTACATGCCAGGAAACTGGAATTTTGACAATGTTTACTGAAGTTTAAATTACTACATTTCAACCTATGGCCCTGCTATTGGATTTCATCCTGTTTCTAAGAAATCCGCGTTCTCAGAGGTGGAAAATAATCTAAAGTAAATAAATGTATTCCAAAAATGCAAAAAACACAAAAGGTATTTAATCCTTTATGCAGAATTCTTAGGGTACTAAGAGGATGAACAATGCTAATGCCACTTTTATTTTATTTATTTATTTATTTTGGTAGCAGGATGCTAAGGATCAAGCCTGGGGCCTTGTGCATGTTAAGTACTTATTCTACCACTGAGCTATATCCCCAATCCCAATTTTTAAAGTCAACTTTAAATATAAGCTCAGCGTTAAAAATGAGAACCAAGACCTGTCATGTAAAGGTACAAGATCCCAATGATGAATGTAACTGTACTGTATACCTAAAATGTACCAATAAACTCAATGAGGAAAAAAACTTAGCACAGAGTATCTATAATATCATCTAAACATAAAGATGAACCCAAAGTAAAAATACAGATGAACATGAAACATAAGACACTAATATGACGGATAGTAAATCTGATAAAAATAAAAGGAGACATACCAAAATATTAAGCTTACTTGAAGTTGCACGTTCTCGCCTATCTCTAAGTGGCTTCAGTAAATACTGGAAAAAGATGGTTGCAGTAAGAACTAATTCCTGATACGCTTCATCTTCCTCTTGATAAAGTTTCATTAATGCTACCATGGTGTTGGTTTTTCCATGTCCCTGAAGAACCTAAAAGGTAAAATATAAAGGTCAACTCTGGATGTTATTATAAAATCATACCAAACAAAACCTAATGTTCTCAAGTTTAATAGAGCAATTTTAAATATTGATTAAATATTAAAATGTCATGCAACTAAAATGCCATATTAAACAAAAATGGTTAAATGATGGTATATGCATAGCAAAATATTATTACTGCCATTAGCGAGCACTGTATTTTTTAAGATTGCTTAAAAATATAAGGACTTTTGCCATATTAAACAGGGAAAAAGCAGAGCACAAAATTTTACCTCAAAAATGTACTAAGAGAAGAGGACTCAAACAGCATCAAATGTTAATAGCACTTATCTTCAAGTCCTATATTGTGGGTGGTACATTTTTGTTTGATTTTTCTGACTATAAAAAAATGGTACTTCTTAAGGGCTAAAGGTGTAGGAGAAGTGGTAGGGGAAAGGAAATAAGGGAAAATAAAAAATATGAGAAAAGGAAAAAATGGAAACAAAGTCTTTGTAAATAAGGAGGGTGGAGGGGGTGAAAGGAGGGCAAGGGTACAGGGAGAAAATGAGAACCAAGACCTCATGTAAAGGTACAAGATCCCAGTGATGAATGTAACTGTACTGTATACCTAAAAAGTACCAATAAACTCAGTGAAAAAAAAGGTACTTCTTTCTAAAAACCCATGACATTCTAGAGGTGCCATCAAGTACCTCCCCAGCAAGGCGATGCTTTCCACTCCCCAGGTTCATATCCCATCTTGCCACCAGGCGCAGACCCATTTATAGAGCCTGCACTTCAGCTCTGGTCTCTGCTAAGCACAGTTTCTAATATAGGGCAGAAAATATATTGATGAGTTTATAATTCAGGCGAACCTGTTTGCTAACAAATGACCTTCCCCATACAAGAGGAGAAATAGGAGAAAGAAAATGGCAGAGTGGTGACTGGTCTAAGATTTGGAATACAGACATTTGAAAATAACTTGGAGAAAAGTAAATCACTGGGAATTGGAAAGGAACTGACAGGAAAATTTAGCAACTAACTACAGAAAAGTTAGAAGGTTCACAATGCAGAAGGGAAAAAAGGAACAATGTGGGCTCTTGTGGCTCATGGAGAGGGGAAGGGGCTCCCCGAAGCAAGTGACTGGGTGAAAGAGCCACAGGAGACAGCTACAGACAGGGACAGTGTTACAAAGAGATCCCCAGAGAAGCTGAAACCCAGGCCAGGAAACACACAGCTCCTACCCACAAAGTGAGAAGCCAGGCCCATTTCCAATCATGCTCATAAACAGCCAGTCAGAAAGGGCCCGCAGCAGTAAGTACTTGAATCCTTGCCTGCTGTCTCTATCCAGCACAGATCTGAGGTTAGCCTACCTTCTTATGCACCAACATGAGCAAGGACACACCTTGGCATGGATGTTGCCATAGCATGGGTTAAATGGAAGGGACTCCAGAACGGGGCATCTCACAAACCCACAGGCCAGAAGAGACCTAAATGAGCAAAATCAATCCTGCACAACATGAGCAAGGCAGGAGGAATCACAATCCCAGGCTTCAAGTTATGCTACAAAGCTACGATGATAAAAACAGCATGGTATTAGCAAAAAGCAGACATGTGCATCAATGGAACAGAAAAGAGGATGCAGAAAATCTCCAAGCACATTCATCTACTGGATCTTTGACAAAAGGGTTAAAATCTTACCCTTACAGAAAGGCCTCTTTATCTTGCACCATGTACTAAACTAAAATCAAAACGGATCAAAATCTGTATACTAAAATGGAAACAATCTGATGACGATTAAGTAGGTAAAACCCTTGAAGACGTAAGTGTGGACAAGGACTTTCTCTGAACAGAACCCCAATTGCACAAGAAATAACAGCAAGGATCAACATATGGGACTATAGCAAATTATAAAGTAAAGGAAACAACCAACAGAATGAATAGACAACCTAGAAGATAGAAAAAAATTCTGCCACTGCCAGCTAATCCTCAGAATATATATAGAGAACTCGACAATATTAGACCCCTCAAAATAAAAGATCCAATCAAAAAATGGGAAACTAAAATGAACAGACAAGTCTCAAAAATAAATAGAAACTGTCAATAAATACATTAAAAAATGGGTCTGGGATTTAGCTCAGTGGCACCACACCTGCCTCACAAGTGCAAGGTCCCGAGTTCAATCCCCAGCACCAAAAAAAAAAAAAAAAAAAAAAAAAAAAAAGTTTAGTATGTCTGGCCTTTAGAGAAATGCAAATTAAAATAACACTGAGATTCCATCATATTCTAAAACAAATGGCCATTATCAAGAAATCAGATAACAAATACTGGAGAGGATATTGTAGGGAATAAGAAACCATTCTACAATGTTGGAGGAAATGTAAACTAGTACAACTACTATTGAAGTTAGTATAGAGATTACTCAAAAAATTAAAAATAGAAATGCCATCTGACCCAGCCATCCCCTTCCTGGGTGTCATCCTGAAAAAAGTTAAATTCAACATATTACAGTGATACATGCACACCCATGTTTATAGCAGTCCAATTCCTAACAGCTCAATCTTGAAAACAGCTTATATGTCCATCAGCAGATGAACAGATAAAGAAAATGTGTTTATATGCAATGGAGTACTACTCTGCCATAAAGAATAAATGGGTCATTTGCAGGATGAATGCACCTTGAGACCATAATGTTAAGTGAAATAAATCTGATAGAGAAGCTTAAATATCACATGGAGTCTTCTATATGAGAAACCCAAACTATAAATAAAGAGCAAAATAAAAGATAAGAGGAAATAGGGAGACAGATCTTTTGCATGTGGGAAGGGGACCATGAATGGAAGTAAGGCTAAGGAAGAGAAAAAAACTAAGATATGCACCAACTTGCCATGAGGAATGTGATAATCATGTACTACAAACTAATTTTTTAAAAAGAGAAAATAAAATCAAGTAATAGGGTTTTTTAAACCAATATATTCTTATAGTCTACTACTTCTATTCTTCTCCTAAAGGAGGAATTGATCTAACCTCAGCCATCATTTTATCAGGTAATAGAGTAGTGTTTAAGAGAAGGAAAAAAAAAAGTTCCCTGATCAAAATTAAAACACACAGACACAAAAATAAAAAGGCAACTGGTACTTTTCAGCCTCATTTTTAAAAACTACTTAGAAAAAAAATCCACAGTGAAAACATTCAGCTAAACTTTATACATTCTAGCCAATAGTAATCCTAAAATCGATTTTCTTTCTATCCCAGTAAAGAGTAAAATTATATATACTTCCATGGACATGGTATGTTTTGCATTTCAATCTGTCCACCCATTTCTGAGCTGCAGATAAATAGGTGAATTAAAGAGTGTGAGCACCTAGCTCAGTAGTCTGAGCTTTACACTAACTTACGCCTAATACCTCTGAACAAAGTTCAACTTGGGAAAAGTCTGACTTTTCCAATTAAGTTTAACGAGAAACTGTCAAAAATCAAGTTTGATTTTTAAAAATGATCAAGTAGATCAAAAGCTGATTAGCCTGAAAAATACCTGTAGTTTCTTCATACTGTAAAGTGAAATTAAGACAGAAGTGGGTGTGTAGATAGCTACACATAAAACTCACATCAAAACCACTTTAGTTTAAAAAGCTCACCCTGTATCTAACGTCAGAGGATCTACAGCATAAGGTTTGGGTCTTTTTTCCTTTTTGGTAACCAGGAATCGAACTCAGGGCCTCACGCTTGCGAGGCTGGCACTGCACCACTGAGCTGCACCACTGAGCTACACCACTGAGCTACACTCCAGGCCCCTAAAGTATAAGATTTTGCAATGTGCAGGATTCTTCTGTTACACCTCCCCCTTCCTCAACAGAAGGGGCAGAAAAGTCATTTTGATTCAAAACGGTCCCTGATGGGGACAGATAAGAGGGCATGTCCAGGTCCAAAATAAGGCCCACCTCTTGGCTCTCTTCGTAAACTGTTGCTATATAAATCAGATTTTCACCTCGTATCTTTTGGGATTTTGTATTTCTCCTTTCTCTTAGGCCGTATACGTTTACTGCTCAAATAGAGAATCATTCTCTCACCTCCAGTCGCTGCCGTTTAGAACTGATGCCTGAACTCCCTTCTGGCAGGCTTTCCAATAGATCACATCCTTACTGCTAAACAAAATTCCTATCTTCTAAAAGCCACGTCACCCTCTAAAACATTCCGTCTCCACTCTGGATATTCCCTGGAGAACAAAGGTCAGCTTCCATTTCGTCCATGTTATTTCCTACGGGTGGAGTGGTTTCAGTTTTGCTTTCAGAGTTCCTGGGCTTTCCGGTTACAGCACAGCGCTGCTGCGCGGCGTCTCCAGGCAAAAGGTTGGGACCAGGGCTGACTCGCAGTCACAGAGGAGCTTTGGTCGGACCGCAGCACCCCTGCGCCCCGCCCGCTCCCCAGAGGCCTGGACC